ATTTCGTCTATAAGGCAGTGACGTCACGCAACAGGATTGAACCTGTTCGGCGCGATGCGCGTAAACAACCGCATATCTCCAATGTAATACTATACGGAGAAATAACTTTTCGCTCTTGCGGGCGTCCCAGGCAGCGGATTTGAATGGGAATAATTTTAATCAACTCCTCATTACAATAGCTAAGCGTGTACCAATTTTAAAGGAAATCGCTTCGGCCAATTTTTATCTAGGGGGGGCAGAGTGAGTGGGAACAGCAGCTTTATATAGAGTAATAATAGCTAAGCGTGTACCAATTTTAAAGGAAATCGCTTCGGCCAATTTTTATCTAGGGGGGGCAGAGTGAGTGGGAACAGCAGCTTTATATAGAGTAATAAAGCTGTGAAAACCGTACTTTACGCTTTTAACGTAATGCGCGGGTAGTTTCGATCGTTTGTCTATAAGAAAATTCCTTAGCGGTAGAGTAATTCTTATCGAAATTTATCGTTGAACTGAAATGAAGCCTAAAAAAACGCGCCTGGTAAGCTCAACGGTGGCTATCATTTTCAGGAAACAAAAAAACGCGTTTACGCGGTTTCCTTGGTAACCTTTGTTTGCTATCAGCTGATGTTTTATTTCCATTTCCCAGCCAAGTCGACGGAGTTTATACTTCCTTTCTTCACTAAATACATTTACTAACACCTGAGCGCTTTTCTAATACGACAGTATTAGAATTTTCCCGCTTGTTTTACTTTGTTTTCAATGTTTGAAACTTTACGCTTTATCACCTGTTGGTAAACTTCCGTGCTGGAGGGCGAAAAGTGATCCAGCTTTTGCTTAATCCAGAGGTCACCTCTTACTGACGGTGACAATCCATGCTTGTGCGCGTAAGAATCAATCCGTTTTGAAATCTCTCCATATCTGTTGAGAAAACCAAGCTGCCGTAAAGCGCCTCTCGCGCTGACGTTGGCTGCTAGCAAGGCGCACGTTATCAAATTTAAAACGAGCATCTGAAATGAAAATTTTTTTTACAAACACGCGATAGAAAACAACGTTGGCACGGGATTAGAGCTTCGTCTATAAACGAAAGAAAAGAAAATGTCCGTTTCTGAAGCTTTGGAAAAACTGGGTGCAGATGATTAAAAAACTCTGTAGCGCTTGGATGGAGGCAGTTTACAAATGTCTTAAGACAATTGAGGCGGGAGGGACATCACCCCACAGTGGCGTGGCGTGAATTACGATATATCGATTGTTATGTTATTTAAACCTATGGAAAAGGGTGGAAAAGGGGTAAATAGGGTGTTCGCAGAGAACACCTTAATAATCGATTCTTTACTATAGGTTTAAATGGCATAACAATCGATATATCGCAATTCACGCCACGCCACTGCACCCCAATCGACCAGAGATCAAGATATCAATTAAGGGGCTTGGAGGACAAAGCGTATAAGTGCAGTTTTCGAAAAAATTGAGATATTCACGAACACAACTAAAACTACTTCGGAAATATATTCTGTGAAAAAATTCACTACAAAAATCCAACTTTAAAGCATCAAAAAGTGAGTTTAAAAGTCCTTTCTGTCATACGGCTCCATGTAATTTTGAAACTTTGCACAAGTATTTCTTGAAATGGTAAAAATTGCACTTATGTGCCTTGTCCTCCAAACCCCTCAATTGCTCTACGCCTTGCATAAGGGTCCCAATCACATTATTTTTTGCACTCGTAATTTAATTAATTGTTATGAAAAAAATCACAGAGATTGAGATGCATTTCATATCATGTTTTTCACGTTTTAAACCGCGGAAATGAAAATAAGGGGGGAGGGGAGTTCTGCGAGCATAGTATTTGAGGAGTTTTTCCCGTTAAACTGCAATGGTGAATTAAAAGTGGAGAGAAGATCTAAAAATCGAAGACAGAGCGCTACATGATTTTTGGATGTCCTCTTTAAATGTCCTTTGAATTGGTCTTGATCCTCGCAATACAAATTCGACAACCTTCAATCATAAGTAGTCATGCTGGTTCATATGTTGAAAAAGCATTTCTCATATATTTCATTTTCTCATTTGAAAAACCAAGCAACCTGTCTCGAAATGCAGCGAGTGTGCTTTTTATACGCTGAGAAAAATAAATCAAAATTTTTGGGGCAGTATCTTATATTCTTGGTTGGAACATCTATACACAATATAAACTTGGACAACAGACTATATAGTGAAGCCAATTTAGTTAAAACCCTCCAAATATGGCTACTTTTTATTTCATTGAAAATTTGTCAAATATTGCAAATCAACACCTACTTTGAAACGCCCGCTTCAAAACGGATTTCAGGCATCTAAGTAGACTAAAAATACTCTTCCATCTTTTAAATAATTTTAGTTGAAGATACTAATTTGTCCTAATTAAAATGTTTTTGTTAGTTTATCAACAAAAAATGATGTACAAACGAGTAATATTCTAACTGAAGTACTGTAGGAAACGTACCTTAATGATCACGAAAAAACCTATTCCACGGATTGCACTGTCGGCGATTGTCGTGCAAAGGAAAGCGGGGCACAGGTAAATGCGCTCCCTTGCACAGTGAAGCAAACTTTCATTCTTGATTTCGAAATATATACTTGGATCAAGTGCTTTTCTGCTGTTCCACTTCACAATTTCTAAGAGAATTCATTCTTGAGTCACTCCCAGGAAATAGCAATTCACGACTCAAAAACATTTACACGGAAAAGGTTTATCGGCACAGATGACAACTCGGACCGACAAAATTCGGAAAAGTGTGATTAATTTCAAAGTTCCGGATTTCTCACTCGAAAATGGAACTGAACATGGGTGACGCGCTAGCATTTAAAAGCGCAGGGGAAAATGAGGCCGAGTTATGCCATGCCGTTGCGTCTGCATGAGTACGTTAACAAGCTCCATGACAAGTGGAAACCTCGATTTGAAGTGGTTTGGTCCAGTTTTTCCAAATAAGACGGAAGAAAAAGTTTTTTATTTAGGGGGGGGGGGGGGGGGGGGCGATGGAGCCAGACAAAATATGACGAGGGTGGACATTAAAACTGTTCAGAAGAATACTGGTTGGAGGTAAAAAATTTAGATTTCCCATTTTTTATACTCATCGCCTCTCAATACTGTAAAAAAATATTTACTCCAATTTTTAAGTCATAATTCATATCTTAGATGATGTTATGAGCGTTTAAACTGGTCCATCTTGGAATGGGTATAGTAAAGGCGTGGCGCTGGAGAACTTCAAGTGCGTTTTTCTTGAAATCCCTATTTTCCGTTCTCAAAATTTGAAATACACTCTAAAGGTCAATTTTGGTAATTTTTGGTATGTTTTGTGCCGAATCAACCCTTTCATTTGAGTTATAGTTGCCTCGTTTTATTTTCTTCCCAGGCCCAGCTCATAAAATCTCTATTTTTAGTTAAAATTTCGCCAAAATTCCCCCATTTTTTGAGTGGACAGCTATTTGTCTCTCTATATATCACTTCAGAGTGACAACTCTCGGGTTCTGAGAGTTGATAAAAAAGGAAGAAAAATAGACGAACTTTCGCATTCTCTAAGTCGAAAGAGGAATGATAGAAAACAAGATAGATGCTGCACTGGTAGAAATTGGCAGTAGAATCTGTGTTCCAAAAGACCATAGACCTACAGCCGGCTGTAAGATTTCCAATAGCTTCCATGGCCGGCAACACAATTTCTTATAGCCTTTTATAGCCGATGGCGATTAAGCAACGGCCTGGCGATTAAGCAACGGCCTGGCGATAAAACGTATGCTAAACGTTACGGATACTAGGACTTCGTGAGTTTTTGGACAACCGCTCTCTCTTTGGGCCGTAGTACCTTGATTTATTTTGCGAGGAAAGCTCCGAACTTTTGAAGGATGCCGATGCCTGCCATTCCTAATATGTTGGAGCGCCTTCAATTTCGTATGATACTGTGCAATACCTCTGGAGTGAAATAGTTGCTTCAAGCGCCGCGGTACGCTGCGGCGCGGCGCGGCGGGTGGGCAGCCAGCGCAAAACGCGCATTGGCGCCTACAAACCTAACAGGGATACTTCACGCATTAAGCAATGCGTGAAGTATCCCTGTTAGGTTTGTAGGCGCCAGTGCGCCGCCGATCCGCTTTGTGTTAGGCTCTAATATTTCATCTCGTGGAGTCAGCGTTGTTCAACTCATGACTTTGAAATGTTTGCACACTCTGTATGGATTAGCCTCATTTTAATTGATGAAAAAAAATATGTAGTAAAGAAAAATATATTGTGCGTTTTGTAAATATTAAGGTGAACTTGCGGATTTACAAAGCACACGAACTTCTACACAATTTCTCATAGCCTTTTATAGCCAATGGCGAAAAAGCAACAGCCAGGCGATAAAGTGTAAAGCCAGGCGATAGGAAGTATAGCCCGGCTGTATAATTTTTTATCGCTTCGTGTAGCCCGGCCGTGTGATTTTTTCCACTTCCTACAGCCAGCTATATGATTTTCTATCGCCTTCTTCAGTCGGCTGTAAGAATTCCTATGGTATTTTGAAACGCAGCTCCTATCGCCAATTTTCACCAGGGTGATGTTTAAGAAATATCTATTTTAAAACATTGTGCAAAAGAGATGGGATATTTTGAGTCCATAACTTCAAATCTAAAATGTTTACAAAGTCTGGATAAGGTTTTGACACGTTGTAATCTGATAACATTGATGAACATATTTTCCACCCATAATCTATATTTAAGGACCTATGTTTTCAACACGTGTGTTCGATACTTTCTAAAATATGTCTGTGTATGAGAGAGCGTCTGAAAAAATAACGATATAATTATTGCTTCATGAAGCTGAAATTTTATCGTTTGGAAGGTTGCACTTTTACTTATTGCATTCAAAAATAATCCTGAATAACATCTCACCGATCACATCTTCAAATATGCCTCATGGTGCTAAACTCCATGAATTTATCATGCTTGCCCCATTAATACTCCAGTAGTATTGATACGACAGAAGGTGGATTTGATCACAGTTTACTACTAATATATGGATGTCCACATTAAAATGCCAGTGACAATTTAAGTGTCAATTTTTTATTAAGAATTTACGAATCTCAACGACTTTTTATCTTTTCAGTTATTTTAGGATTATGAATGAAAAACTCGTATTTTACACTGAAAAATGTGAGATTTATTTTTGAGTATTGAGAAAATACAACGTAACAACGCTCGATTCTTCATCCTACATTTGATGTTTTTTAGAAGTGGTAAATTGACTTCATCTTAGGCTCCTGTTTTTTTCCAGTTGTCCACCTTTGAAGAATTCGCGACATTTTCTCATGTACTTTCTTTATTTGCGGAGAATCCTCCACGTGTGTTGGAAACACATCCGCACAGTTGCCTAACCCTGAAAAAGTAAAACATAACAGATATAGGTGAGTTTTCAGATGTTCTTCTTTCTTCCTAGAATAAAATATACACACTACAATAGTGGAAAAGACAAAATCAATGTTTTTAATTTTTTTTTTAATTTATTTTTTATTTTTTACCAGCTGAGAAATTTAAATGCAGAAGGGCCACATATGAATCCTCTACGCATGTAATGTCTCGAATTATGAGGTACTTTTAATTTCCTTTTCAATATATTTATCTTGTATTAGTAGACAATGGCTTCCTCTAAGGAAAAATGTCTGGTCATGAAGGTGCGGTCAGATCCCATTCTTTCTGACCTGTGGTCCATCATCGACAGAGCAAGAGACGCGCAATAAGAAGAGTAATTATAGCGTGTTCTATGTCAAACTGAGCAAAAGTGGCAAAACTACAACACGCAACTATACTTGCTCTTAAGCAGCGAAAATTGCCACCATGAACATTGTAGGCGAAATCGACAGATTGAGAGACACTAAATATAGAAAGTTATAACAAACTATGTTCCTTGCCGGGACTGAGCGAAAGTGACAATAACACTGCACGCGTGCATAACTATTCTGCGGTGCTAAGGAAGAACGTCGTATGAGCCATTAGGCGTTGCCAAATTTCCTTCAACAAATAACGAATTTTCAGGAAAATCTGCGAATATTTTTCTATTAATTTTTCACAAGATTTCGTTCGCAGTTTGATCTAAAAAGTCCGAAAATTTCAAGGAAAAATATTCGTAACAATCTTCAAAAATGAATATTTTCAGAGAGGAAATTTGACAACTCTCGAATGTTCATGCGGCGTTCTTCCTTAGCACGGCAGTATTCGTGCTCCGAAGATGCTCATGAATGACCCTCACGGTAATGGCCATAGCCCGATACCGGAGAGGGGGGGGGTGTACCCTATTTTTGAGTTTTGCAAAAATTTAACCCCTAAAAAGTTTCTATGTAGTCTCTGAATGAACCCCTTAAAAGAAAAAAAAAATTAAAAAATTTTAACCCGTGGCTCAAAGGGCCGAAAGAGCCTAAATCCAAAATTTAAACATTTTGGCAGGCTACATATCAATTCTGAAGGAAAATTGTAAGTTACAGGCCTTTGGCAGAAATTCCGTTCCGTTTTGGCGTACCTTGAAGCGTAAGATCACAAACGGCCCAATGACGACGTGAGGCTATGGGCCGGCGCCGCTGCGCCGTGCTGCCAGAATGAATCGCGCACTGGCGCCTACAAACCTAAAGGGATACTTCAAGCATTGCGCAATGCGTGAGGTATCCCTTTACGTTTGTAGGCACTAGTGCGCGTCTCGTGGTGGTTTTTCTCCAGTGTGCTGGTGTATTTTGGGGCTGATTGGTTTCCTCGTTGAGCTAGTTTTTCGCTCATAATGCGTAATTCGACGGTGTAAGTCGGCAATCACATAACTCGATTTGTGACGTCGCAGACTTCCTATCATACTTTATTTTTAAAACGAAAAACTACTCAATATATTATTTAAAACTCCAGTGATTTTTCTTCTCTATGCGAAGAAAATTCTGCAAAAACTTCAAGGAATCATGTCAATTTGTTCTCCTTTGAAAAAATAACATAGAGGCGGAGATTTTCAGACACCGCAAACGAGTTATGTGATTGCCGACTTACACCGTCGAATTAATATAACTGTTGCTCATACATAGGTTTCCTTGGAATCGACACATTTTGATGAATGAACTCTGATACCTTTGATGTAGACAGCAATACTCCCTCTTGGCGGTTCCTTGGTGATGCCAATTGATGACCAGGGATCCATCGATCCATGGACGAACAACACCCGGCTAACATCCAATGAAAGACCTCCGTAGATCATATTTGTATCTCGGGCCGCAGCCTCCAAGAATGATGTATTGAACCTGAAAGCGAGAATCTCAACAAAATGAATAGGCTGTACAAAAAGGGGAGAAAAGTCAATTAAATTCATCCGCGATCTGTTTTAGGTGATCAACAGATAAGGAATGCTTTTCTATTTCGACCTGCCTTTAAAATTCTAGTATACTAGTGGAGATGTATTCAAATGGCGAACCGGCTCAAAAATAAGATGCCGAATAGGGTCCTCACGCTTTTGGAATAAAATCTGTTATTACATCAAAGAGCGGAGGACGATATTTCGTTTTTCGACGTTTCTCTATATTTTTCTTTGTTTGTTTGACGGTGGTGTGCTTTTCTCAAAATTGATGTTGGGAATTTTGGTAAGGCGAGTTCTCTCACTCAACGCGTTGCTCCATCTTTGGGGAACTTAAAATCGCGCCTAAACAGAAAACAGCTAAACGCTTCTCTGATAAGAACGTACTAGAGCTCTTCCGCTTATATCTGTTTGCAACCTTAACTTAAAACACTGTAATAAGCAAACTGATTCTCAAACCGCGTTTACTGTAACCTCGAGAACATAAAAAATCGCATGACTCTCCAGAATTCTTAATCGGAATCCCTGAGTGGTTCACATAACTTACAAAAACAACTTCATTCAGTCTTTCACTTTCCTGAAAATATTCTCCTCATGATGCCTATTGACTGATTTCTTCCCTCCATCATTGTGTATTATTTTGCCGTAAATGATTTCTTTGTCACGTGCTTCAAGACTTTTGACTGGTTGAGATGATACAAATGTTTTCCGAAAAATCAAAAAGTAGACTTTACCATTATACTCTCAGGATGAGGGGTTTGCATGTACTTTAAATCAGTCAAAATTTATTGAATTTTAATCTAGAATTAAATAGTCTCAAAGTTACATCTTGGTTCTTATTCACTGACTCACTTTGGTTCTGACGCCTTCACAATGTTTATCTGGTGAACATTGTTATGAAAAATGTATGTCTGGTGAACAATGGTTAACACTGTTAATCTGGTGAAAATAATAGATGAGTACCTGGAGTCGAAAGCATCCTTGCACATGGTCGCAAAGAAATCCAAAGTTAATCTATCTCCAAACGTGTCATCTCTTTTGCTGGACGTATGGTGCCACCAGCCAAATTCTGTGCATGACTGAAAAGCCATCTGCCTGGCTGTAGTAGAAATGCACACAAGCTTGAATAAATTATGAGTTCTTAAAAACGGCTTGGAAAATAAATAATTTCATATTAGACCAGCCGTCTTTTAAAAATAGAAAAGTAACCTCAATTGAAAAATTCTCAAAATTTCATTTTGCAGATAAACAGCTAGTGCACAAACAATATTTTCTTTTTTCTACAATCCAGAAAATGAGTTAAAAGCTACTGTTGTAACTTTTGAACGGCTAACTTTATTGAATTAATCTTTTGCGATATGTCAGCTTGTAATTGCAAAAAGAAGTGAGTACGCATGCTTACCAACTGGGGAAAAGGTAAGTTGAGTCCCAAACGCGATCTTTTAAGGGTAAGTTGAGTCCCGTCAATTATTCCCCTATAGGTAAGTTGAGTCCCGTCAACTTTTCTTCCATAGGTAAATTGAGTCCCACTGTATTTGCGTTGGTGAACAGGGAATAATGGTGGAAATAAATAAAAATATGAAAAGTTACCCGATAAATTTTCTAGAGTGCAAGCGCTGCGTCATTGAAGTGAAAGTATCAAGTCATTGGTAAAAACTTGTGGGAGACCGTTTTTAGGAACGCGAACCGTGTAATTTTCTTGGCAGCATACAAATTCATCTGGAGGCGCAAAAAATTTTCTTTGTTTCGTGTGATTTTATATTCAATTTGAGGCGGACTTCTGGTGGCAATGTAACTTTCGGCTTGAAAATATTCTAAATAATTGCTGAGTTCAGATTGACAGTCTTTATGCACGGTCGCTAAGCCGCACCAACCAATGGAACAAATCGGCCCTTGTAGTAACCGTGAATCGTGAATACTTGCAGATAAAATGTAGGACAGCTTTTAAAAGTTCCATCTACATAAATTTGTTCAACGTCACACAGTCTCCCATCCTCACACATACACTGATAATGCTACCGGGACTCAATATTTACTTACCGCCGAATAGGAGTCAGGACTCAACTTACCTTCTCCCGTAATGACCTAAATTCATTAGGACTCAACTTACATTTGTCCACCAACTACACTTTATTCGCAATTCTGATGATGACATTTTGCAGTTGAAGACATTTTGTAGAGCGAACTGCTCTTCATAGTCATGAGCTTGCGAAAATGCAGAATAAATAAGCCTCAGGCCTCAGCTCGACATGACCATTTTCATGATATCCCACTCAACTTGACGGTTGAATTCCGGAACGTTGAAGAAACCAAGTACCTACTAAGCGTCAAACACGCTTTAAAAAAAAATGGGAGATACTAATGTTACATTCTGCCAACCGGCAGAATGTAGAGTAAGTTCAGAAATTACTCCAAATTATGATTAAAATTGGAATGATGAAATATTCAATTCTAATGCTGAAACATAAACGCGTTTTGAGACTAAACAACATAATTCTGACATAAAATTAAGATTCAACACTTGACGAGAGCCTCAAGATTTGACCTCTTTTTCTTAGAGAAAGAATTCTCTGAAAAAAGATCAATGAAATGTTGAGATAGGATCCAAATAAAAGACTTACAGTTGCCGTAATCTCTGGCTGTCGTGTTCTTCAGAATCTCAATCATAGCTGAATATCTGTGCTCCCAGCAACGCGAAGAGTAGTATAACTTATTAAACCAAACTGCGAGCCGATGAACCTACAAGACAGCGAACGTTCCTTACATGAACTTATTGTATGGTGGTTTCTGCACCAGAGAGTTTGAATAAGAATACAAGTTAAGGATACGAATTCCAAAAAATGGAGAAATAAACAAAACATATGAGGACGAAGAGGATAAATTCCTACATGTGAACTATAACGATCTCACAAAATCCTTGGTGTCGCATTGTGCATGTACATACTTTTAGTCCATTTCTAGCGTTCCATTACAAAACCCAATGCAATTCCATCTATGTGGAGGTGGCTTAGCTGTGACTAAAACAATACCTAGAAAACCTCATTTGTTTCTATCCTCCTTTTTTTAGCAGTAACATGAAAGGTTCTGAGCAAAAATTAATGTGTAATATAACTTTGCTTCTAGGTCGCATTATCGGTGGAGTAATCAGAATTGCGGTATATCTTTGCATTGTAAGAGATTTTTACCTAGAGTACGGTGAATCGCACCATTAAATTACTTGAAACGTGTCCCGAGCTCAAAGATTGATAAAACCGTAGTACGATTTACTAAAGATTTTCCGCGGGAGAGTGAGATATTTGTCGTTGATATTTTTTACTCAAGTCATGTGTTACGAGAGTAAGCTTCCCTGATCATAATTAAAAAATTGATAGACAGCTGGTTCACCTAGACGACCTGTTGGTAACTGCAAAAAGTATAAATACTGGCCTCGAAGATCTTCATCACGAACCATGGTCAAAAATGAATATTCATATCGTTCGCATAATGGGGCAATTCACAAATCCAAATCGAATATTCTGGTCCCATGGCATTTAACAAAATCTTTCCAAAAATGCCGGAAAACTTACCGGACATTTGTGTATAGTTTCATCAGTCATGATCTGACAAGCGCTTTCCATACTGATGTCTTTAAACCATATTGAACCACGGTATTCGACGATGAAAGCGAAAGAGTAAGTGATCGTTCGAAAAAATAACGCAATATCATTTTTGTTATCCTCGAGAGGCTCACATGGACTGTAAAGGTAAGAGGAAAATATTAACAAATTGTATCTCCCTTTGTATTTCTGAGCACACACATGTGCTGAATAGGGGCGTATTATACTAAATAATAAATTACATAAAGCCCGTAAAGTTATTCTACCGATTTGTTGATTTTGTATCATTTCCCGCGGATATGATACACCCTAACACGGGGCCGGAATTCTCAAAATGAACTGCGGTATTTATGTCTCAGGTCTATCCTTCCCATTGTTAAATAGAGAGCTGAAAAAGAATTTAATCCATCGTGCTGCATCTAAAATAGTCTATTCGATAGTTAAAAATATAACGTCTAATCGGCTGTAAATTAGAGTAATCTATAAAATGAACTATAGTGTTACTAGGTAATCAAGTGCCAGCAGTTGCTGTTAAACTTGAGGTACTTTAATTTTGTTGAAATAATGCTAGCTCAATGCTAGACATTTGTGAAGTCAGTTATTAGAATTATTAGGAGACAAATTTGACAATGAAAATGTTTGCATTCCTGAGATCGATACCTTTTCATTTACCAATTGGTAGCAAACTCAATTTCTTTCTGGAATTTTGAGCTAAAAACTCCAATGGTAGTAGGAAGAAAACTCGATGAGAATGTTGCACAGTTTTCAGGATTTTTTGGACCTACGTTACAGGTGCCCTCCTAGTCTAGTAGGAATTAAATGACTGATGAGGAAGAACGTGTTACTAAATAAATAAATAACTCTTATGAAACTAACTGAAAGAGTTCGCGGTAGTGTTCCCGTTTCGTTGAATTCTTCATTCCGTCGCTCATTTTACGGTAGGCTTCTCGTATAGCATCCACGCACTTTGCACTAACAGTGGACAGAGACTTTGATACAGATTGGAAATAATCTGAAACATCGTCAATGAAATCAATTAACAATCAATGAGTACAATCAAATTCTAAATTTGAAGAAAAGAAACTCGTTATTTTAAAGAGTAAATTCTTGCGTGGCATGTTAAAATAGCGCGAGGAATGGAGATGTTGCATGTGCGAGGGATTTGCGATTTGACCATTGTTTCTTACGTAAAAGTTTGCGAGAAACACGATGGTGCCACTGGTTTTCTCTGAAACCATCTCCCTAGCTCAAAAAAAGCTCTCAAAGTGAGGCCAAAATGGAGGGGATATCCTACCCTACCCTGAGAGTCCACCTCTACATCAAAACAAACTCTCCATGCAAAGATAGGGAGCAAATACATTAGCAGGGTTGCCGTGTTTTCAGTTTTGGAGTCCCCAAATAAAGTGGCAACCCTGCCACTGTCTTTCCTCCCTATCTTTGCATGGAGAGTTTGTTTTGATGTAGAGGTGGACTCTCAGGGTAGGGTGGGATATCCCCTCCATTTTGGCCTCACTTTGAGAGCTTTTTTGAGCTTGGGAGATGATTTCAAAGAAAACCAGTGGCACCATCGTGTTTCTCGCGAACTTTTACATAAGAATCATTGGTCAAATCGCAAATCCCTCATACATGCAACATCTCCATTAGAAAATCATGCACGGAGCATCATGCATTCCTACTTTTTCCGTTATGTCGTTTACCAACTTAACAAATGTTTGTGCTCACCAGAGAAATTGGCTTTTGCAATGAGAGGCGCACTTGAAGACACGGCTGCATAGACCAAGTGGGGATATCTATACCTCATCCAGGCTGCTAAGGATCCGGCGTAATTCCATCCAAAAACTATCCATTTTGGATTTTGAAATCCATGTTTAGTGTTCATTTGCGTTATAAAATTTGCAATATCTGCCAGGGCCTGCTCACTGCTTAAATATTTCAATGCGTCCATCTTAAGGTGGCTAGAAAAAATTGAAGTTGCATTAGTCTGTAGTACATTAGTACATCTACAAGCACCATTACGGTCCTATGTGGTCATTCAAAAAGCTTATTCTGTGGCATTCTTCTTCTTTCGAACTATGATAAGGAGCATTGGCGAGGCGTTAATGGTCAGTTATCGATATTTTCCCATTTGAGGCTATGGTAAAGAATCGATCATGAAGGTGTTCGTTGCGAACACCCTGATTATCGATCCTTTTCCATAGGTTTAAATGACAGTTCAATCGATATAACGCACAGCACGCCACGCCACCGATAAGGATCCTAAAAAAAGCATTAAAATGAAATTCTGTGAAGCAAATCCGTCCTCATATTTATTGAATCTACATTTCAATCCTTAAATTTTGGACAATTATGCTTTCTCACTGATGAAAATGAGGCTTTTCCATCTTGGACATGGATTCTGTCAATGGGGGTTTTCATCCAATTAGAGCTCGTCGCTTTGCAAGAATAAACCATTGACTGATGGATGCGTAATTTTATTAGACTTAAAATAATACCTATGACGTAAAAAGTAAAACCTATGTCGTTGATAATGATTTCAATGCGTCATATAGTTAATCAATCACAGTTTTTTTGCACCCTAATCTTTTTTTAAATTAAATAAAAATCACTACATCATTCAATCTCAAACTCATAAAGTTTTTAGTTTGTCAAATAAGCCATTCCTCGACCCGGTGCTTTTTAGATCATAAACTGAATTTTTAGCTGATTTGATAAAATTCGGTGAACGCTTCTTGTTTCGAAATAAACGTATGCTCCATTATTCGTCAACAGGCACGCACATGTGACATTCAATTATTAAGTTTTATAAAAACTTTGCACACTCAATAACATACATGTTATGTCCTTCGTAGATTCTCACGTCTGATTTATCTTTCGCATGGATCTATAGTCTGCATAGATTGAGAAACAACTCACCCTTTCGGTACGCTTTTTCCATAAAATCGGTGCTCAAGCATGAAGGTTGCAGCTCTCCATTTTTTAGCCTCATCTCCCATGAAGCTGTATCCAAGAAAAGATTCTATCATAATTACATCTCCGGAGATCAATAAAAACGCTACACTGTTATTGCCATAATACTGTTTGTTCATCGCATACCTCTGTAATATATTTTAATATAGTTTTAGATAACGGTTGATTTACGCTAAAAATACTAAAGGTCATCACTTCAAGCGAAGGGGGTTAAATTATTGACTTCCATATTTTGCCAAGCAGACCCTTTTCAGGTTCATAAACTACATATAGACAGTCCGAGTCTACACTTTTTCTGCAGTTGGATCACTTTTCATAATATGTGGGTGGGTGTCAACAAATATTTGGCGCGTGCGGCTGCAGTGTAACGTGCCTACCAGTGGCATGGCGTGTTTTGCAATATATCGTTTCATATGTCATTTAAATCTATTGAAAAGGATCGATATTCAAGGTGCTCGCAACGACACCTTAATAATCGATCGGTTACTAAAGCTTCAAATGCAGGAATAACGATAATCGATCATTCACGCCACGCCACTGGTGCCTACAAGTTACACAAATCATATCGATGGCCGAAGTGCTGGCTGTCACGCTGGTTACCTGCCGCGCCGCGCCGCAACGCTTTAAGCAACTATTTCGCGTCAGAGGCACTGCACAGTATCCTACAAGATTGAAGGCGCACGAAATATTTAGTTGAAGAGGACTTTCAATTTTGACTGCATCTGTTACTGAAAAATGTTTAATTTAGCATTGGAGCGTTTCCTAGGCTCCCGCTTTGGTTTTCACCTTATCATATCCGTACAGTGTACCATGAACATATGTTTTTATCTGCTCTTAGAGTCTGTTCTCTTTCATGACTTGATTCATGAATGAAATGTTTTAAGATGCATTTATTTTTGAGGTAGTTCCTGTCATTTAAACGAGAAGAAAAAAATATGGACATAACATGTCCACAATTTGGACAATTTTGGACATATTCATGGTTGGACATTAAATCATGTGGACTTAATAAAGACTGGCCTTAACGTTTAGTGGACATTAATAGCGGTGGACATTTATTTAATGGACAAAAGGTAGGTGGACATAAAGTCCTGGAAGCACTGACAGATCTTTTTGAAACAGCCGTAATTTTTTTCGCATATTTGGATATCGATTTCATTTAAATCTTACCCAAATATTCGAATGTAGTTCGTAACTGCGCATCCAAAAACTTCTAATATTTGAGAGTGCCAAGTTTATTCAAATTTAAACTCCCACGATTTAAATTTGATTTATAATGATCTGCGTGATCCACGAACTGCGTGTTTCATCTCACTTATTTTGCATTAAAAAGAGACGTTGTATAGTCTAAACATCAATGCATAATGATTGCACTTGTTCTCTTTTCACTAGTTTAGGAGTTTTTGCTCCGGTGAATGGGAAAAACTTTCTCGCAGCATAATACTCCTGAATAAAAGATTAAAATAATACGAGAACGAAGGTCAAGCCGAACAGAGAGCATCGGAGTTTTGAAATCTGGATTTCGATTAAGACCAACCGAGTGATTGAATAACGGATACAATTTCCTTTCTTTGCTTTTGATTGTAATTAATTTACCTGAGAAAAAACCTCCGTGTCGGAGGGTGTGAAATGATCAAGTTTTTGCTCGAACCACAGTTCCTCCAATCCTTCTGGAGGTCCATGCTTTTCAACGTAAGATGCCAATCGTTTATTGATTTTTCTATTTGGGTCGAAGAAATCAAACTGCGGCAAAATACCTTCTGCGCTGACTGTTGCCACAAGGAGGGCGCATGTTATTAAATTTAATGATAGCATCTGAAATCAAAATGTGGTTTTATGAACAGACCTTCACTCCGTACAAATTCTGAGTCGAAAAATCTATATACAGGGACCAGGGACCAATTTTATCGTCGCTTGAATTTGTGGCCTATAATTTGGGATTTTAGTAACAACTGCGCAGTTCTACAGTGTGCTGACTCTTTGAGTAGAATTTTGAAACAAAACATAACTCATGACTGTGCCAGGGTACATACTTTTTTTCTTCCTTTTTTCAAAAATATTTCTTAGTGAAAATGTTTTTCCTGCTTTTTGACACCCAAAATTTGTGGTGTATCATGGGTGACGGTAGCCACCTCCGGAAACAGTAAATATTACAACTAATTTATTTTGTTTGCATGCTGACGGATCCTTATAGAACAAGGCGATTACGATAATGGACCACTAGACAAGGTACTCTCTCAAGCAATCTGATACATGTTTCTCAACCAAAATTTCACGTAAAATACGATTCACACAACAAAAATTAATGAAACCAACTCCTAACGAAGATATTAATGTTTTTATTTCACATTGGTTACGAGGAATTTGAACTGCCCGCTCACAAGAAACTCAAAGCTCTACGTGAGTCAAATCGCGCACTACTACGGTTTCAGCAAGTTTCTCAATCGAGCAATGTTCATTTCCCACCATGTGTTGTTCAAACTATAAGCAATTTGCTATAGCTGATCCAAAGCGTCAAAATTGAGGTTGCCAGATTTTTAAATCGCAGATACTGTCATGATAACGTTTAGCGCGCGATGTGAATCACGTAGAGCGTTGAGTTTTCATGAGCGGGTGGTTTGAATTCACGCATTAAGAATCATTAAATTTCTTCGTAAGTAGTTGATTTTGGTAATTTTCGTTGTGCGCATCGTGTTTTACGTGAAATTTTGGTGAAGAAACGTGTATCAGAATGCTGAAATTCGTACCTTATCTAGTGGTCCATTCGAGCCAAAATAATCCGAACTGGGCGTTGGTCGTATTTTATTTTGAAAGACGTAAATGAACCAAAAGACAAGGTGAGGATGAGACCTTTGAGACGTAAGTCTTCATCAAAATTTCATGCAAAACATGTTGAATGTAAGGAAAACTTCATAAGTTAACTCCTTAGTTAGCAATTGATGTTTGTATTTATTACTAAAATATTTCTCGCCCTCAAAACCCTTAATATTGAACGCTGCAACTGTATGCAAAAAGGGCAATCCTTGGTGTCCCATGATCTAAACTGACGTTTCATCCATTATGACACTGGCAAATACATAGAATTCGTTGAAAATGTTACTGAATTTTCTTTATGATTTTACAATGCTAAATTTCAAAAGAATCACCCAATTTTTTAAATTTTCTTACTAGAATATAAGTTAGCAGTGAAGGTCCTAAATTTTCTCAACCAAGAAATTCCCTTTTTGCACTCAACGCCTCCATTTACGAAGGCCATATTAGTTATTCATGAGCAATCCTCAAGTCAGGCAAATACCGTTTAAAAGCTAACAGGTAAATAATTTTTAGATTTATTATTCCTAACTAAATATCACGCTGAGCATGAACATCAAATTCTTGATTCCAGTTTCAGTACATTGATTGAGCCAAGAAATTACTTTCCATATTAGCAACCTACATAATGGTTAATTGTGAGGGGAAGCAGCCTTGATTGGTGATTTAAATAAAGGCTTCAGCAACTACTAATAAGTTTCTCAATTGTAGCTGTAGAATGCCAACTCTTCGATAAATTATTGAATCCATTTATTTTATTCAAAGAATTTTTGAGCCTGATATAATCGGCCTCTTTATCTTTAGCTCTAAGATTCATGTGTTAGTTAAATAACGTGACAACTACTATAACAGGACGGCTGTTGAAAGAAATTCACTTTCAGGTAGTTTCTATTATTGAAGGGAACTCTAAATACTCTTTTATATTTCTGTTTTGTTGTTGTTGTTTTTTTTTTTCAAAGAGCGATGTGTAGGTTTTTAATTTTCATAAATTTTATCCTCTTGTTTGGTGTTCATAGTAATTTAGGACAGTATTATTCTACTAGCACTTGAGTAGGACGCAAAAAGAGAAGAAAACAACGTACCTTGATAAACCGCAGGAAATCTGGTTCATGAATGTAGATTCTTAACGGTCTACAATATGACAGTGGCTACTTTGAAATGTGATCCCTCATGAGTTGAAGTAGTTCCCTTTTCCTATTCCTGTTTCCGAAAATCACTTAAGTTGCGGATTAAGTATTATCCATTCTCTCCACTTCAGAGTTTCTGCAAGACTTCCTCTCCAGCCATTTTAAGGAAAATCACCATGCAAAATTTAAATTTTATCTTTAATAAAAGCATTGTCAATAAAAATCAATGAATTACTTTCCTCCTCATTATATTCGCGTTAACTAGGTATTTGTGTACATGTTTACTTCATATTACAAATATTACAACATTCGTGACGCTGCTCACTCGACGACTGGAATAATGTTGGGATATCTCAACAAATTTGCATTTTGGTTACTTCCTCCGGCATAAAGTCATTGTCTTTTACTGTAGGTTTACCTACAACAGAGGCGGATCTAGCAATTTGGCAACACCGGATTGCCTCCATTTAAACCTATGCAAATAATCGATTTTTGTCCGAGCACTTGGCCCCTCCAAGAATCGATACATTTCGATAGTTTAAATGGAGAAGCGACGATGTTGCCAATTTGCTGGATCCACCCCTGCCTACAAATGAAACGCATACCCACTTATTTCAAGGAATTCCACACATTACGCTCCATTGAACATCTACATTGTAGGTTCGTTGCGCATTTGAGGAGTTGCATCGAATTTCTTAGACCAAAAAGTAATATCCCTCCGGACGAAAAGTTACTAGGTTCAACATAGTAAAAGCATTAAAATATTTTAAAAAACATTAATCGATAATTTCATCTCCGACTTTGAGTGAACATATTCCACCAAGCCTCTATGTCAAACAAAAACATATTAACAAGGCAACCCTGTGACTTGACGGGACAACTGAAACATGCGCATTAAGTGCTCAGTGGCAAAGTCAAACAAATCGTCGCTTGGCTAACATGAAGGTGTAACTGCACATTGAGATGAGCCCGGAAAAGCATTGAGTTGTCTGGAAGACAGGGTTCATTGCAAAAAGTAGTTACGCCCTTGTGTCAGGTAGGCGACGAAATAATGTATTGTTCCTTTGAAAAACTCGAGTGGGCGAGTCTTAAGATATCAATGAATTCATGAAATGTTAATCGAGACGAAACAATAATATGACGTCAGGTACGTCTAGAGATAAAAGTTGCAGTAGTTATTTCTAGAAATCTTTGAAGACCTTTCTGTCAATAATTGTCGAATTATTAAAATTTAATTAGTAGTCGGAAACGCGTAATTTAATCTGCTTAAAACTTATCGTTAAGGAGACCCTCTTTCAGCATTATAAAAATGTTGATGTTTATTTCATAGAATAATAAGACGAAAATATGTGAAATGGGTCAATTAGTGGGTTAATCTGTTTTTTTAAGGTGGCATAACATCTTCCAAACTTACAGAGATGGAAATAAGTACCAAGGAGGAAAAATGAGAGGGAGGGAAATGAAGAGGGAGGGGGAGCGAGGGAGAGTTTTAACCGCAAGTAAGGCAAAAATGGGAGGATATAAAGACAAATATATGGGGGAGGGGGGAGGAAGAATTAAATCAAGGTATTAGCCACCTTTAAAAGAGAAAACATTTGGTGATAATGTTTCCTACGTTCATATCCAATGAGTTGCATGCGTGGACCTTTACAGTGGTAGAATTATTATACTTTGTGTGAAAATGAAATAGAGTGAGCACTCCGTGAGCATTATTGAATTTATATTGAATGTTTCTCCTCGGCATTTACCACTCATGCTCTACTCTATGCTGCTAGTGAGGCTTCGCTCAAATTCGGGAGAAGAGTAAATACCTAAGCGAGGACAGATTACGTCTCTCCTACCTTCAGCTATGTTACCCCCGCAGCCATTGAAGCACCAACGAATAAGACACAAGTATTCAAATGGAAATAGATCGAGAAGCGAATTTTCGCGATCGAATGTCATTCATCAAACGAATTGATGAGTGCTGAGTGATGTCGATGATCGGTGATGTCAGGAGCCAATCAGAGCTCAGATTTTTTTCCTAAATGAAATTAAGAAGAAAATAAGAAAACACGAAACACTAAAACACAGAAATTGCGAAAACACCAGACTTGAATTGACAAAACTCAACGACAGATAGAGATGACAGAACAAAAATTTTGGTGAGAGATGAAGTTTCTGACATCGATTGCATCAATTCAAAAATCGAATTCAAGTCCCGAGGTGAATTCGAAATTTCAAATTGATGGATTTCAACGGTCTCTGGTGAGACCAACGAAGAAGTCGAATATCATTGAAAAAAAATGCACGATCGTCGAATATCATTCAACGGTGAATGATATTTGATCGCGAAAATTCGCTTGAGGGAAATGAGGCACGTTGTAAACGGCGCAGAGATACAACTATTCGTACTTAATGGATGTCCGTATTGCATTCACAAAATTGAAGGTGCGATGGCGCGAGGCGAGAACTCGCAATGCCGCATGCCGCTCTTTACTCTCCGCTCTTTGCTTGATGCGCTCTATACTATGATTTGGAAGAAAAGTTAACAAGCGCAACCCGAATACGTCTCTTTTATATTTTGCTGTGTTAACACTCAATTTGTTTCTTTGTTCTCAATTTGGTGTCTGATTCTTTTTTTTATTGATGTACTTGCAAAAGCTCGTATGCACCGGTCCCATAATAATTTCAAAATTGTTCATAAAAAAATGTTAATGTCAAGATTCATCATGATCGATAAGCTTCCTTGTCAAATCTTTTGGCATTGAAAAAATTACCTAAGATTTCTTAAAAATTTTAATATTTCCCTTCGTTACAATTACTTAAAGATAAGTACGCTAAAGCTGCACTCAAACTTTCAAGAGCTAGAGGTAATCTATCCTAGTTTGTTGTTGGTATCTTTGACATTGATTTCCCTTCAGAATGGTGTTTACCCAACAATATTCTAACATCTTATAATTTATATATAATTTATTTTCTTATAATTTATTTATTTATATTTACTTTAGCTCTATAATCACCGTTTGATTCTTACTTACAAAAACACTCCACAGTTTAACCGTATCGTAAATCAAGGTTGATATAATTGATTCACAACTGTTGCTCCTTGATTTAATGACAACTTTTTTCCTAAGTGTTTAGCTCCAGTACAACATTTTTGAATATTTCTAACACTATATTATAAGTGAATCAAAGTATGAAAAATAATGAACATAGAAATTTAAAGAAAAGGAACAGATTTTAATGAGGGCCGATACATTTCAAGAAGACTTTCACCATCATACAGATATTTCTTAGTATATAGAATGAAGGAACGAGGTAAATATTTCCAATCAACTCATAGAATGCTGTGAGTTGTTCAGGTACTTTAAATCCAGGAATTTTATAAAATAATACGCGAGCGAAAATATCAAAGTTCTGTTTTAATACGATACTTATGAACGTAGCGTGGTGTTTACCTATGTATGTCGAATTATCTACACTGTTAATTGAAGGCAACTTTTGTTTCGAAGAGAAACGCATCGACCAAGCAAGTTGATCTCACGCAGCAATTAGTCCAAATTGGAAGCACTCTTCTTAGTTTTTCATAAATTGTGACATTTTATGTGATGGAGCAGTTTCCAGTTGAGTTTTCTTATCCCAAAGGACATCATTCATTTATAATTTTAGGGGATAAATAGGAAACCCTCCCGAAAATCTAATCTCCTATAGCCAGGAAAAATCAAAATAAATACATCGCAACATTGTAAAATCGATCGTTTATTACATAAGAATCCACATTCACGAAATCAGAGCAAATGCGTACTTTGCACGGTGTATTTTTACGCAAATCACTAAGTTGCACGAGTATGAATTAGTGTTTAAAAAAAGCAGGAGAGAAACCGAATTAAAGCGAGCACGATGTGAACAGACCGCCACGGCAAGGTCACATCAAATAATCCGTCGTTCGATTAAAAGTTTCAAGTGCGCAAGTTTTGTGATAGCAGCGTGTTACACATCATCTCCGCTCACAGATGTCTTTGTAATTTGACATTTTTGCAAGTGCTCAAAAGCAACTTTTTAAAACTCGTTTGATACAATTAATCTGGTATTTGATGTATTATTACACTCCAGAGTTTTCTGAAAGATCGAAAAGATCCCATTCTATCTTACGAGTAAAATCTGCCGGAAGATTTAGGTATGCAGTATGCAGTGATGACTGGTTAGAGGAGTTGAAAATGCCATTGTTCAACAAGAACCTGTTCCTTCGCTTGTCCGATAGCACACACTTCTCCATTCTCCGTCTTAGCATCACGCATTTGGTTCTGAACGGCATCGCATCATTCTGGTCATTCCCGTACATCGCGTACAAATGTAAGCCTATATAAAAAAGTAAGTTTATGATGTTGATAAAAAATATCTACACTGAAAAAAAAATATTGCTGAAATTGCCGTGCACGCGGGTATTTCATGGCATGGTGTAGCTAAAAAACGAACGTGCAAACCATGCAGATAAAATCGCTACACAAATTTCAGCTAACTTACACACAAGCGTGTAGGTGATTTTGCTCTCTGAAAAGCTACGTCTGTTACCTTTTCAGTTAATCTTCTGTAAATTTCGCTATTTTTCCGTCAATTCCGCTATTTTTCCGTAAATTCCGCTATTTCAGCCTAACTATTGAGCTATTTTTACTGTTCGCAAAGTACCAATACCAAAAAATGCAGTTACACTTCCAAGCCACTCGATGCAAGATTAACTGCATGAAGGCGCGCAGATGAAGCAAATCGGTGTAGCAATTCGTGCTGGTCGTTTACTTGATTCAACACCGTGCACGGATAAGAAAGCTTTACGAAGTGAAGCAAATTTTGCTCCACCCTAAAGCAGTGAATTAGCAATCCTTTTTTTTTCAGAGTAAATACATAAGGAGAAGTCAATTAATAAGTATTAAAAAGGAACCTTCAACGTAGATGAACCAGTAGTGTTAATGGGAGCACCACTATATTTTCGATCTTATGACACTGGAAAAAAAGTCGCTAGGATTTAAAGTCCCGATCCTTAAAAACATTGGCAAGAAAAAATACTCTTGATTCAATAGGGTTTTTGCTTGAATAAAAAGAAAGTCCGCTGAAATAAAGAGTGATTTTTCACTAAAATGAATATTCGCCCGGGTTAAACATTTAAATTTTTCCTAACCATGCAAGGAAATGCTGTGATTTGAAACATTTACCTATGAGTATTTTCTGGTCCAGGTCTAGAAATCTTGGGATCAACCCGCCAAACTCCGGCCGTTTAAAAATCGCCGGTATTTTGTATTCGGTGCTGTAACTGTTGTACCTAGGGGTGGTTGATGGAGATCTCCTCTTGTAGTATGAGTTGTAACTGTCTGTTGTAGTATAACCGAAAGGATCATAAGTGCTTCCTCCATTCATATTCAAACTAATTTCGGACGGAGCCGCCAGAGGTTTTTGACCAAAGTTGAGGTAATGAGGAAACATGAGATTAAGTCTGGTTGCTGTAACGGAGTCTGAACTAGCGCATTCTGAGCTTACGTTGTATTTCTTTTCCAGACGTTTCAGCTCGTTCTTCCAGCCCTCAGTCACACGCTTGAAGAGAGTGTCACTAACCCCTAATGGAAGCTAAAATAAAAATAAACAAAGGAAGATGTGTAAACAAGGCGGGTAAACCAACTCGCAAGAGTTTAACAACGCATTTTGAACAGAATTCGTAAGAGAATGTCACGGATGAAAAAGCGGTTCAGAGCAATATAAAATTCAATGGAACACTAGACAAGGTACGAATTTCAGCATTCTAATACATGTTTCCCGACCAAAATTTCACGTAGAACACGATACGCACAACGAAAATTACCGAAATTAACTCCTTACGAAGATATTTAATGATTCTTGATGCTTGAATTGAAACCACCCGCTCATGAAAACTCAATAGGTACTCTACGTGATTCACATCGCGCGCTAAACGTTATCATCAACGTCTCAGCGATATATAAATCTGGCAACCTCAATCCTGACGCTTTGGCTCAGCTATAGCAAATTGCTTATAGTTTGAACAACACATGGTGGGAAATGAACATTGCTCGATTGAGAAGCTTGCTGAAACCGTTGTAGTGCGCGATTTTGACTCACGTAGAGCTTTGAGTTTCTTGTGAGCGGGCAGTTCTAATTCCTCGTAACCAATGTGAAATAAAAAGGTTAATATCTTCGTTAAGAGTTGGTTTCAGTAATTGTTGTTGCGCGAATCGTATTCTACGTGAAATTTTGGTTCAGAAACATGTATTAGAATGCTAAAATCCGTACCCTGTCTAGTGGTCCATTCGTAAGAAAATGTCACGGATGAAAAAGCGGTTCAGAGCCGAATGAAATTAAATTGATAATTTAGTATTCTCCTTTCTATTATTAGGTCCCTGTTTGTCCAGGGATCACCGCACTAGGCAAGTATGAAAGTGAATAAAATATAATACAAATTTGTTAAAAGTAGAGGATTAATTTGAAATTCAAAAAAACAAAAAAGTGAGCGGAGGAATATTTTTGAAACTTGAAGCTACAGCTCTGAGTCTTCTTAATAAATTATTTAGTGGGTGCCAATTTTTTCCTCCCATATTTACACAAAATCATGAACCTTTTAAGAATCGGCTTTTTCCCTCAGGAACTTAATAATTCTTAAATATTCGTGAGGTTTATAAATATGGTTTTATGGTAATTTTAAATCACTCTCTTTCAAAATTTAAATCCATCATTTTTTTGTTTGTCGGAATATTTGAAGCCTTAACTTTTTGCTAGAATCAGATACATTTTCCGAGACCTCGCATAAAGAAATTAGTTGTTACCCTCGGTGTAATACCTACCGTTTAGCCATAGGTACAATTTAATTTTTGCGGTAAAAATTATTTCGGTGTAGGTAACAATGCTTACCGGGACGCAAACGGTCATTAGGACCGGAATTACAGGTACCACCAAACTAAAATTGTAACCGCGGGTAGGGCCTAGAATCCATTATGACATATGATAAAAGCAGTCCCTGTTTTCATGTTGGGCGTGAAATTTTCTACTTCTCTTTTAAGAAAACAATAGTTTGGCTCAGGGGAATTTTTATTCTATTATTCTTAATAATGGTCGATTTTATGGGGTACATTTTACCTTGAGGCCAAATGTCTTTTTGGGGAGCTAGCCTGCATTTAATTATATTTTTTTAAAAAATTAATTTTAATTAATTTTTAACTTTTGGTTGACTGATAAATACTGTTGTATAAATTGTTCATATTAAAGACAAAGATAATTAGTTTAATCATTTATTCTTTTGTCTCCGTGCTGACTCGAATATAATAATACCTCGTCACGAGCGGTGTTCTCATCCGGTTCGTTGCTAGATCGATTCTGTAAACTGATCAGATCATGGATTTCCTCCATAAATTGGTTTGGGGGTGTATCGTGAGCCATTGCGGAGTCAGCGAGTTTTTTTACAATTTCTGTACTATCAAAGTCGTACTCCTTCATTTGAGCCTTTTCACTGTAATAGTCCAGAGAATATTCCAAATCGGAGTCTTCCAATGGACTTGTCATGCCTAGAGTTGAATTCAGAAAATAATCAACATAATAATGAACCACAATTACTCATTGGAGCGAAGTAAGACTTTTTCTCAGATGCAGCTTACATTTTTGGATATTAACGATACATTTCGTCATAAAGCTGACTTTTAATGGGTGATACTCATTCATTCTGAAATTACCAAATGACAGCAAAACCGCAAATCAATGGAGATCACACTAATTACACGTGATCGCTAACATGATACCTACATCATTTAGTGGACACATTATTTTGATTTACTAGAAATGTACGGAAACACTTAGATCAAAATGGAACTATGATGATCGTGGCCGGAGCCACGGACTCATAATACATGCATAATAGGACCCATTTGAAAACAGAGATAGTTCATTTTGATTTTAAATACGTCCAATATGGTTGGTTGGTAGATACGTTTATTTGGTACTTTTATACGTCAGTTTCAGTGCATAAATGAAGCTATGTTCTTTTGAAAAGGTGGGAAGGGTTAAAGGCTCAGTTTGAAAACGTCAAGCAGATGGAGTAGAGTTTTAAGATCGCTGACAGAGCTATTTCTTTTCAAGTATTAAAATCTGTTGGAGTCTTCAAAAGGAAGAAAAATCACGGTTCAAAAATACTTTTGCTGCACCCTTTTGAAAGTTAAACCATTGTATTTTTCAAGAGCCCTTATTCCCCTCTCACTAAAATTTTTTCGCAAGAGTCAAGGGTAATATTTCCTGGAGTATCCCAAATCATAAGAACTGAGAAAAGCTGCTTCTTATACCTATATAGTAGGGCTCATAGCGGTCTTGGCTTTTTGTGTGAGGAATGAGAACACCATCCTTTATTGTATCCGTTGAGGCATTCAATGAGATAATTGATCCACTCGTGACTTCTCCTGTAACACAAATAGACCAAAAGCGTTACATTGAAAATCTCATTTTGATGTACACAAGTATTATGATGCAGGTGCAGTTACCTGCACTGATATTTGTTGGTTTGTACTGTTATAAAAATCATCGGATTACAACGATTTTACCTTAAAAATCGTGAATCGACCATTCCATTGAGTTATTGATGTTACTTATCAAATGTCTATGATAAAATTAAATTTTGGTTACTCACGAGTATTCAAGGTTGCCAAAATGAGAAAAGCAGCGAACAGATGATAAGGAGCATAATAGGAAAACCGATACCCCTCAGTAAATCTAGTCGCTTGCGCCATCTGAAAAGAAGGTCACATCCGCATACATAATCATGTGAAGCAAATAAAAACATGGTTATTTGAATACCTTAGAAGAGGAGGAGAAACTCCTTTTAATGAAAATTACCGAAAATACTCTTACTCGTATCTCTTGTTAGGTAGAAATGAAAATTTCCTGAATCTTTGAGGAACTGATAACATGATTAATGGAAAATAAGTATGATGATTTCAACTATATTCCTGGTTGCTTTTAGCACCAGCCAGGAAGGGACATATCGACGGTGAAACTACCAAACCACGTATCTCGTTTGCGGTGTTTAAAAATCTACGCTCGCATTTTATTTTTTTGAGGTAGACCAAATCAATATCATTCCTTGAAATTTTCACAGAATTTTCTCCGCACGAAGAGGAAAAATCACAGAAATTTTCAAGACTGGACGTTAAGTAGTTTTTCATTTAAAAAATAAAGTATGACAGGAAGTCTGCGACGTCGCAAACCGAGATACGTGGTTTGGTAGTTTCACCGTCGATATCCAAGCATTACAACGCATGTTTTCTCGAAAGTGTATTGCGTTAAACACGTCAAACACATTAACAATTTCCAATTCAATTCACAAAAAAAGAAATCGTCATTTTGAATTTCGTAATCCATACTTCTCGCTCATAGACAAACCAAAGCCTCTGAAATTAAATTGGACGCTGAAACTACTCTTAGTGTACTTTACGATGAAATCCTTTCTCAAAATCAGCCATCTGAATTTTTTTTTACAAACAATGCATTGCATTGAAGCAAGAGGTAACTTTTGTTGAAACACAATATCGCACACAACATGCCTAACGACGAATCTACTCTCAATGGCCAATTTGACGAACGTTTACGGGAGGTTTTCCGGGGGGGAGGGGGCTGTAGTTTGAAATGACTTTTAGTGTGAGTGACAAACGCTAACTTAAGTATCACTTTCAAGTTTACCTCAATAACTGTCAATACATTCATCGTGTTAAGACAATTTAGATGGAAAAGCATGCCTTGCAAAGGATTTAATTATCTTGTTGATGGTCCATTAGGAAGAAACCTACTAACGTTTTGAGGAATGTTTATCCAAAATCCGTCTCCCAGTCCGTTTTATAGGTTTGAAATTGCTGAGGAGAGTGAAGTTTATTTTGAAACTCACCTGATGATGTTCTGGTCTGCAAGACTTTCTCGTTCTTTATTTTGTTTCTTTCACTCAACCTCTACCGCAAACTCTGAAATATTTTTTACATGAACTAATGTTGGAACATGACTAAGGTCTATGTAGCAAATGATGGGGCAGCGTTTGATTCTGTTTTCATTTAAATTCTAGTTCGATCTTTTGACCTGCGATGATACGTGTGGTCACGTGCATTGATAATATTACAGGCCTGTTATGATAAGAGTATCCTCCTCGTTGTCTGCAGCTTCGAAAATGCTACCGTTTGCAAACATTCTTAGCAAATTATTACCTTGTAAGTTGGTTCTGTGAATCACCCGACTATACTGCCGTGCTAAGGAAGAACGCCGTATGAACATTCGAGAGTTGTCAAATCTCCCCGAATAAAACATGTATTTTTGAAGAAAGTTGGGCACGTTTTTCTTTGAAATTTTCAGATATTATAGACAAAATTGCGAACAAAATTGTCTTAAATATTGGAAAGAAAATATTCAGAAATTTCCTTGAAAATTCGTGTTTTATTGAAAGAAATATGGCAACGCCTGAATGCTCATACGGCGCTTTTCCTTGGCACGGCACTATAGGTGTAAAGCTAGATCATTTTTCTAGGGGAGAACTAGCCACCCCCTCCCCCCCCGAAAAATGATCTCCAACCCTAAATCTAGCTAAAATGAGGGTTTGGAGGCCTCTCCCGGAAAATGTTGACAAAATAGCTCTTTTTTAGATGCACTTTCAGGCACATTCCAAACACATTTTCATTGAAGTTTGTGGGTTTTGTGGTTTTATAGAAGGTTTCTATTCTTTTCTTCTCATTTTTCATTCAGCAAATGATATTTTTCTTATAAACGATTGTACGAACTATGACTATATCATAATTAAAAAAGTCTTTCAATTCTTTCAAAGAAACAAGAAGACTATTTGCTGCAGACAATGGTTTGAGGCCAATGATGCCGTATATTGTAAAAATGAATAATACATTCTAAAAGATAAAAATTTAATGTATTAGTACTGATTGAAATTACAAAATTATAAAAACTCTCTACCCTCGCAGCTCCTCGTAAAATGAGCTCCATCAGCCGGGCTAGAATTTACGACACTATTAGAGGACAGGGACAGAATCGGACCGTTTGATTACACATTTTCATCACATTTTAGTGCTGAGAAAACTACATCCATTTTTCGGCACCTTAGTGTCGTCTGAATTGCATGGATTTACGTACAGACATAAGATAACATAACTTCAGACAAGACACGATTTTTTTTGAAGTGTTCGAGGATTTAGGAGAGAGTGATCATTAAATACGGTTTGAAATATCGAAGTTGGACAATTGTGATTTTTTGTTTTTAATGTAAAATTTTGCAGTTTACAGTGCGTTTGTGTTTGATTAGTTAAAATATCTTTAAAACTGCTTTGGTTATGAAGAAGATATGTTAATCTTACTGAAAATGGTGAGTAAACAGTTGGGTTTCTCTAACCTTTTTTTAATTCAGCATCTGAATTGGTTCGTTGCAGAAAGCGGAAGAAGAGTAAGGTGAAATATAAGACTAGACTGTTCAAATCTGATTACTCTATAAGCACACGTTTGAATTTTTCAAGGGTAATCCAAAGACCACCAGAAGGGTCTTAACTTTATGCAGATCAAATTTTCAAATTTGTTTACGTATTGGGTAAAATAAAATGTTCTTTCATACTTATACTTACATACGAATTGGCACCACGTTGTGGGCTCCTTTTGCATTTCTAAAATTTCCTCAAACAGGAATTTAAAAAGGCTAGAAAATTCCATTTTTAATGGTTTAAATAGGTTTCCCTCTATATTTACAGCAGTGCGCGCTACACATTTCTCTACAGATTACTCACTAAAAATTTTGAGATAGTGGCAAGCAGCTATTCATTTGAGGAAAAGGAAAATAAAGTTGCAACAAGTATTTGAATTAATATTTGTTGGGGCTCCGCTAAAGGACCTTAATGACTTTATAAATTGACGGTGATTTCAAAATCTCCAGGAAAACGAATCCGTATCATTCTTAGAATTTTAAATACAATATTCTTCGCCCTGAGAAGACGTATCTCGGAAGTTTTCAGTATTGACGTTCAAGTTAAACAATAAAATATGACAGGAAGTCTGCAACGTCGCAAACCGAGATACGCGGTCTGGTTGTTTCAACGTCGATATGCGTTTATTCAAGAGCTCCGCATCGGAGCCCGATGAAAAATGTAAAAATATGGTCTATTTTGGAGAGCTCTACGTAGTTATGAAACTTGGCGAAACCCTTCGGTGTCTCTAAACTTCCCTGGTAAAAATTGGCGATAGGAGCTGCGTTTCAAAATACCATAGGATTTCTTATAGCCAACTAAAGAGGGCGATAGAAAATCATATAGCTGGGTGTAGAAAGTAGAAAAAATCATGCGGCCGGGCTACACGAAGCGATAAAAAATTATACAACCGGGCTATGGTTCCTATCGCCGAGCTTTACACTTTATCGCCTGGATGTTGCTTTTTCGCCATTGGCTATAAAAGGCTATAAGAAATTGTGTAGTAATTCGTGTGCTTTGTAAATCTTTTAGTTTGTACGGAATCACCATAATATTTACAAAACGCACATTATATTTTCCTTTACTACATATTTGTTTTCATCAATTAAAATGAGAATAATCCATACAGAGTGTGCAAACATTTTAAAATCATGAGTTGAATAACGCTGGCTCCCAGATTAAATATTAGAGCCTACCACAAAGCGGAGTGGGGACGCACTAGCGCCTACAAACCTAACAGGGATACTTCACGCATTGCGCAACGCGTGAAGTATCCCTGTTAGGTTTGTAGGCGCCAAAACGCGTTCCGCGCTAGCTGCCCGCCTGCCGCTCCGCAGCGCGCAGCGTGCCACGGCGCTTGAACCAACTCTTTCACAGCAGAGGTATTGCACAGTATCATACGAAATTGCAGGCGCTCCAACATGTTAGGAATGGCAGGCATCCTTCAAAAGTACGGAGCTTTCCTCGCAAAATAAATCAAGATACTACTGCCCACAAAGAGAGCGGTGGTCCAAAAACTCACTAAGTCCTAGCATCCGTAATTAGTAACGTATACACTTTATCGCCAGTCTATTGCTTAGTCGCCATCGGCTATAAAAGGCTATAAGAAATTGTGTTGCCGGCTATAGAGGCTATTGGAAATCTTACAGCCGGCTGTAGGTCTATGGTATTTTGGAACACAGATTCTACTGCCAATTTTTACCAGGGTTTATAGTTTTCACACCAATCAATCCACGAGCTGCTCTAGGATCTTATTTGTTTGCAGACACTTTCTATGCATCTTACAGCGTATACATTGCTCCTAATTTCTGCAGCATCAGCTTCTACTTGGCGACCAGGATTCACCTTTGAGGAAATGCTGAGGCAACTTGACTTCCATGATTCCGTTCCAAATGTCGAGGATAGACTGGAATGGTTCGAGCAGAAGCTTGATCATTTCAATCCAGCTTGCACGGAAACTTGGCCTCAGGTACAATGCATTTTTACTCCGTACAACCTTTGATATGATGGAGAGAAACACCACAACTGATAATGGATCAAATATGTGAATTCTACAATTTAAACATTAAAGTGTAAAACTTTTGTCACAGTTTGCTCTGAAGATCTGATCCGACCATCATGATTTTTGCAGCTATCGATAGTAAATAGTCTCTGGGTGGAGTGTTGATCCCGCACTACTTAGATTATATTACGAGATTTCGCGAAGCTATAGCCTCAGACGGTGGGGTGGGGTGGGGGGGGGCTAGAGTTCCTTTATACTGAGAGTAAAGACAATGTGAATCTATTTCTGATTGGTTCCCGCGTTTTAGATTTTCACAGCGTCACAAACGGGAATAAACATTACATTTCCACCAATTGCAAAGATTATATACTGGAATGGACCGGGGAATGGGGAGCTCGGCAAGGAACTAATGGAATGAGAGAGGGAACGGAGATAGGAATTCGGAAATAGGTTAATCAAAGGTTACAAAAATCGTCCGATTTGTGTAATGTTTATTCCTTTTTGTGACATCCGATCCATAATCCGCGTTGTCTCAACTCTCTCTACAAAGGTACTCTAGAGCGACCTTGCACGTACTCTTAGTTTTATATGAAATTCTAACTTAAGTATGAAAAGTCGGAACCCATCGGATTGTGTGAAATTGTCTAATCTGTACCATAACTCTTGTCTTGCACAATGTACTGTTGTATGTTCTAGCGCTATGCGGTGAGAATGGACAACTACGACGATAATAATTTGGTGTTCCTCTTCGTCGAAGGCTACGGCGCTGTTCGTACAAAATGGCTGAAGCACGGACATATGAGTAGAATGGCCGAGAAGTTCAGTGCTGCTGAATTCATAGTTGAGCATAGATTCTATGGTGGAAGTAAACCCAAACCGTACGTTTTTTCACCTCTTTAATCTAGTTAAGGAAACAGTTGTCCTGAATGAAATACGTACGTGAATAGTTGTACGTTGACGATTGACTATACTGATTTTATATTTTTATCAGATAAATACAGCGTGAATTTTTTAATCTGAAAATAGCTTTCGATACCTGGCCACCCGGTTACTAACATTCAAAATTGAAACACATGCCTATTAAGCTCTATACCATTAGGTGATGCACTTCAAGAGGATCCAAAGCCTGAATATTCGAAAATTAACTTACCATATTCACTCATCAAAGAAGTTGCATTACAAGCATTGGGTAACTCTTGTGTACATCATTTTACTGACCTAGTTGTCAATCCTGTTTTTTAGAAATCCATCCTTAGAATCATTAAAGTTTTTGAGCAGTGAGCAAGCATTGGCCGATCTTGCGCATTTCATCAAAGGAATGAACACACTTCACGATTTCAAAAATCCAAAATGGATCGTATTTGGAGGCGCCTATGGAGGATCACTGGCAGCTTGGCTCCGATATAAATACCCTCATTTGGTATTTGCTGCTGTGACCTCCGGCAGTCCTTTACAGGCCAAAGTAGATTTTTCAGGTAAATATGTTTCTATTCCATAAACAGTTATTTTCATGTTTCAGTCTCATGTTCTCCTGTAAATCAATTTTTTTCTCTGGAAGAAATACATATTATATACAATATTGAAAATACCTTACTGTGGATTATTTCTCGCGATGAAAGATCCTTTATAAATCTCCGTAAGAATAAAATTCACTCATCCTACCTGGTCATATTCCACTTTACCTTTGGTATGAATCTCTGTTTTGTTTTTTGCATTGTATCATAGGGAACAAAAATTTAGACCTTGTATTCCTTAATGAAGTACTCAGTTACTTCAATAAGACGATCAGCAACTATGGCTATTTAAGTCAGAGTCTAGGAGGAAACATTAAATTTTGAGGTATAATTGCGTTGTTTAAAAAGTTTTAAAATTTTGGCAGAGACATTTGGGTTATCAGAGTTGAAAGGGTGGATGTTTAAGGGGAGATAATTTTGAATTCTGAGGCGTGTAGCATGAAGTTTTGGGCAATATAAGATGAGAATTGTTATAATTGAGAATATTTTCTAATGTGCTCGACTTTTTTCACCAGAATATATGCAAAAAGTTAGCGATTCACTGGCTTTGGTGAATCCACAATGTGTTGACGCCATAAAAGCCGCCAATCAGAAACTCATTGATGGTATGAGCAACGCAACAAAAAGAGAACACTACCGTGAGCTTTTTAGGTTTGTATATTCTCCGTAACGTATATGCAAAAATGATATGAATATCACAGCGGTCTCTGTAAATGCTTATCTCATTCATCACGCAAGAATTGATACAATGAAATCATAAGTTTTCCGACCATTTTGGACAGCAGAATAATACGCAACTGCTGACAGAGAGAGGTATCTTTGTGTTCTTGAAAAAGTCAAGGGGACTGTTTGTGTCTAGACGGATCAAAAATACGAAATTTAGGTAAAAGTAAAATCCATTTTGCTGAAATTGTGAACGTCTTGATTTGAGTTTTAAAGTACGAAAGTCCCTCTCCTGATGAGCGGCTATATATGCATGTTACTCAAAACAATTTACCTTGTTCATCAAAGATGAGGTCATGAAGGAATGTTTTCGTTTTTTTCTATGAGAAAGATTCAATTGTGTTGTATTTTGTCAGTGCGAAAAGAATAATCGTTGGGGTTTACTTCTTCCTTAGGCTTTGTGAGCCCCTTGAATGGAATGAGAAAGACATTATGACATTTTTCAACAGTCTCAGGATTGATTATACTCACGCCGTCCAGAGCCACCACATCGGCATGAACACGGACTCAGATGCAGCGTATATTGACATGAACACTATGTGCAATATCATGACCGATGAAAGCATTCATTGTCCTGTAAGTAAATCAATGCTTGGACATATTGAGGCTGATTTTTCGTGCTCCACATAGGAGCTCATAATGCAGTCGTCTTTGCCCTCTCCGTTTAAGTTTTCATCATTAAAGGGACGACCAACAAACAGTCCATGAGGCACGCTGAAGTATATACAGTGTGATCTAAAAGTTCCGAACGCAATTTTTTTGCAAATCAGGTAATGCGATAGAAAATTTAAGAATGTTCCAAAGTCAAAAATGTTGGCCTTCTTAAATATTTATATCTTAAATATTATTAATACTTCTAATAGCCCGAGAAAACGATCATCCCATAGGTGCAAAAAAGTTTCCCGCTCTAGCCCTGCTTCCAGAAAAAAATGTTTTCTTCGTGTGCGATAGATCAGCCGTTAAATCCAAAGACTGGTTCTCATCCCCCTTCCAATTTTCCGGGAAACCCATTTTTCCCCCGAAAATAAGCATTTTGCGGTCAATTTGCGTCGTTTTAAGTGCTAAGGAGCTTTGGTTATGAAAGGTCATTTCTGAATTTACGGGTTCAAAATACTTGATAGAGAACCATTTAAAGTCGTGGAGAATTTCGTTCGATTATTTTTGTCGAGCTGTGTTATCTGACCCAAAAATATTGATGTGCATTTGAGCCTGAGTTTCATTCCTGTACAACCATGGAGTCTTTCCGTGTACTTCATCAATGGCTATATGATCTGTCTCCGTTCAAATTCCGAGAAAAACAGAACAATTTTCCAAATGAGGATGAAGTTGAATTGTATTGCTTAGCTAAAAATCTAAACTACCACATACATTTACATGATGAGTTATCACTAATTTATACTAAAATATGTTTGAAAGTTACTTTAACGTTTTTCTACAAAGTTTTATTCATAATCGAATTATCTTGTTATGATCAAATTAAATTAATGAAAAATAGACAATTTTCATAAATACGCCCTGTGATTCTGAATTAGCAACTGTTCCTTTTGTAACCTACAGGTCCACCGTTACGCCGAAGTGCACAAACTTCTTTTGGCTTCCTATGGTGAGAAATGTACGGATCACAAATACGATGGGATGGTGGAATGGTTAAAGGATACTTCATATGGTCCAGAAACCAATTTCTGTAAGTGACGACACTAGTTGCCCTTGTTTTAATAATAATTGTTTCCTTGCGTACTGTAAGTTTTTGTTTGTCACATTGATATGTTAAAATCACTCAAAGCCATAAATACTCAATTTCTATAAAAGATTGATCCAGGGACAAGATATATGTATTAAAAATATTTGAAACAAATGGGCTGAAATAACAGTATTGCTCATGAAGTTGTCTTTCCCACTTATTTTAGGGCGACAATTGTATTACCAACATTGCACAGAGTTTGGATGGTTTCAATCGTCGGGTGAAAAAAATGATACATTCGGGGACCAGTTCCCGGCACAGTTTTTTATTGACTTGTGCACTGATGTGTACGGACCAAGGTAAATTTTAGCAGATTAACCTCAAATATGCTTTAAATATTATTTTGATTACTCTTAAATAAAACGTCACAATAGGTGGGCGACTCTGGGTCATATTTATACTGAAAATTTACTTATTATAAAGAAAAGAAAAAAGAGAAGAAAAAAAAATGAACTCACTATCGACTAAAAACAGCCTAAGTACTTAAAAGAGCTCTCTCTTGCTGCGGTTGATTTAAAAAAAAAAATGCTCTTGATCCGTAGGTACTGGTCCATGCATAGCAAAACAAAATCTTCAGCTTTGACTTTTTTTCAAGAATAGTGAAAAAAGAATCAATGAGTTATTGCAATCAGATTTTAGCATATGGACAATATGAGGAAATCAATTTGTTGGGGGTGTTGACACTCAACCTTTGAAATTTCCTTCTCTTTGGCTATGGTTTCAGGACATTTTGTCAGAGATTTTTTGTCCGCGCACCTTTTTTGTCCAGTAGTTTACGCCCACACGTAAAATAAGCAACAGTGACTTGGTCCAAGCGTTATATTTTAGTCGGTATGTAAAATTATATTGACGATATGGAAATGGGAAATTGAAAGAGATGGAGGTGTTGTTATGGTTGTTCATTTTTTAAATGAAATGTTATTACTTTCTCCTTTTGAATCATCTTTTTAAATTGTCATTGGTGAATATTTGGTTTTATTTCTATCCTTAAAATATTCTATGTACAATATACCTTATATGTGTATAGGTACTTTTTTATTTTTTTAATTTTTTCTTTACGAAATTATTACTTCATTTTGAAAACATTCATATTTTTAAAACGTGACAACTATTTGTAAAACCTTTTCCAAGCGACATTAATCTCAATGAGCCGCAGTTGTGCCGACAGAATCTACAAAAATGAATAAACGAGGGGAAAAGACCAAGAAACACGCAATCTTTAGTTTAAACCCATTTGTACATCGATCTTTTAGAGTCAAATACGTCAAATTTTGAGCGTTTGGTTGCACGTACACCTTGCTGCAGCACAATAAAAGCACAAAATGTAAAAAAAAAAAAAAAATTAAAGTGCTTAAGGAATCATTTTTGACACGGAACAACCAATATTTAAAAAATACACATTATATTATTATTCCCCTTTGATAAATTGATACATATTTTTTTCCCATCAATTTAAATAAGAATACTCAATACAGAGTGTGCAAACATTTCAAAATCATGAGTTAAAAAACGCTGACTATGCGAGTGTAAATATTAAGGCCTACCAGAGCGGAGCGGCGCGGCGCGGCGCGGCGTTCTGCCAGAGCTGAGAGAGGCTCAGGGGCGCCTACAAACCTAAGTGGATACTTCACGCATTACACAATGCTTGAAGTATCCACTTAGGTTTGTAGGCGCCAATGCGCGTTCCGCGCTGGCAGCCCACCTGCCGTGCGGCGCGGCGGCGCCTGAGCCTCAAGCAACTATTTCACAACAGAGGTGTTGCACAGTATTATACGGAATTGAACGTATTAAGAATGACACGCATCCTTTAAAAGTACAGATCTTTCCTCGCAAAATAAATCAAGATACTTATCGTACACAGGAAAAATCTAAGATCCTTTAACTGAGGCAAATATAGAGGTTCATCCGGTTCAGGTATAACAAGATGGGAATTTCTTGAAAGGTAATTAAGTCCTATTACACCAAAGAGGTGTAGAGAGTTTTAGTGAATTTTGTCTCATGGAATTGACGCTCCCCCATTTTTACCAAAACTCTCAACTATATATTATTCTCCGTTGGACCAAACAGACAAAACAAAAAACAAGCAAACCCTCATTCTTCCAAGACATTATTTATTTTCATCCAAAAACGTCGTGAGCAATTGTCGTTTGTATTTACATGTGGGCCAATTAACTTTGGGTCTCAACTGGCACGTGGACCAAAACTCCCGAGCTGGAAAAACGCGTGGACGTAAATTACTGGAAAAAACAGGGGCGCGGACAAAAAAATCGTTGACGAAATGTCCTACAACCTTGGGTATTAATAAATGTTTTAAGATATTTGTTGAGAAAAAAGTTGTGTTTTTGGCAATCTTATAGGGTACAACACTCATAAATTGTAGCTCATCGGTCTATAATAGTGGAATCTACACTTCGCTGCACGAATAAAAAAGCTGATTCTACGCTTATGAAATCAGTTTTTTCAGGATACTGATAAAAGATCTTTGAAAGGATTTGCCTCTTGACTAAATGCATGCTCACTGAAGAGTTGGAGCTTACCCGTTTGTAAGAGGATGTAGTTCTTATTGAATTGTTCCAAAAAGCTATCACTCGGAGTTATATCCACATCGTGCTTCAATACAAAATCAGATATGAGGGATTATAGAGGACAGAGAGACAAAATGACAGAAAGTATCCTCACTTAGAATACTTACAGCTCGCAGTATATAGGGGAGCTTGCTTACTAAAACTTAAAAAATCATCATGACGACTCGATTTTACTAAAAATGTGTTTTGAATCTACCATAACAGTGTAAAATTTTGCTACAGCTTTGATAGTGAGCACCTGAATAAATCCGCGGAGGAGACTAATACCAACTACGGAGGTCTTTCACTGCCTGTATCAAGAGTAGTGTTTATTCATGGATCAATAGATCCCTGGTCTCCCCTTGGTATCACGACAAACCCGCCGGAGGGGAGTTATGCGATCCTCATTAATGGTAAGCTCTAATCTTAACCGTAGAATAATTTGTCCACATTATAATGACAATTTTTGAGACTTTCATTTTCCAAAAAACTTCAATAAAAGTCATAGGCGTAGCTAGGTCATTTTGCTGGGGGCGGAGGCCTGGCCACCCACCACCGGGGGGTCGGGGGAGGGTATGGAATACCCCTTAGCTCATCGGGGGGTCCGGGGGTCCTCCCCCGAAAAAGTTTTTGAAAATTTAACTCTATTTGAGCGCATCTCGAGGCACTTGTGGCACTAATCTTCCTTCAATTCCTACCTAAAAATCACCCAGTTGTATGCATTTTAAGGTTAAAATACTTTGAAATTGTTGCATTCAACGGGTTATTCTATTTATAGGCATCCTCTTACGGGCCACGGCGACAGAGACTTGCCGTTAGCGGAAGAAGGTGTATTTGCATCATCCAGAATCTCTGGGAGGGGGCAGACTATTTCCAATTCTGGGGGGGGGCAGGCCCCCCTGGCCCCCCTTCCTACGCCTCTGATAGAAGTTATGAGATGAAATTGTGTCATTAGTGATGCACAGCTCGCTAGCGTAGATACGAGTAAATGTATACTTAAAAATGGATCCCGTTTAGCAGAAAGGAACCAAACCACATCAGCTATTGCCGAATTTAACTGGTCAATTTAATTTCTTACAAGAGAACGTTTGTGCGGACCCCTTTGAAAATTTTAGGGAGTTGGCTTTGCACTGTGCAGAAAATTCACTGAAATTTGCGCAAAAATCCGCACAACAGTTTTCTTGTATAAAATGAAATTGCGCAATTGAACTTGGCAATACCTGATGTGGTTTGGTTCCTCTCTGCTTAACGGGGTGTAAATAATGTAGCCGGGGATATAAATTTGCAAATATAACGAAAAAATTGGACAATTTTGGTGAAAATAAAGTGAGAAAAGCTGCGGTTACTACATACTTAATCATCTTCAAATCGAGCTCGGTATTTAATGTTCCACGGAAAACATGCCATGAATATTTGTACTTCAAATCACATTCAAAAAATTTTCAGCTTAAAGCAATATCAAAGGTTTTAAACAATTTCTTCTATAAGAGACAATTCATAATTCAAAGTGCCCCAGATGCGCCTAAATTTATACACAAAATAATTAACTAATGAATTGAAACACTATTAGTTGTATTCAGAGTGGGTTTGTACTATTGTTTTAAACAATGAGATTATCTCGGAAATATGTGTACACCTGGAGACTTGGTATCATCCAATTAGCTCACCGTCATCTTTCTTTGAAACTTATTCCGATGTTGTCTCAATTGAATCTTTCTTTCTGGGTTTCAGGAGTGGCCCACTGTGCAAGCATGTTGCCTGAGACGCGAGATGATCCGCCTCAACTAATTGAAGCCCGGAAGAAAACCGAAAAAATCGTTGGAGATTGGATTATGGGGAAGAAACATCGGTCAGCAAAACGGACGTTTGTTTTTTGAGACTAATGTATGAATAAACAAGAATGCTGATCCTACATAACAAAAACTTTGTTCTGAATTTGATCTTAATTAACGAGTACGCTAATCTTACTTGTTACAACAGCTACCGTGCCATTTCTTTTCTTTCGTGTAAGCATATGACAAATCATAAACGTACAATGGTATCGAAACAAATGTTGAGAAGATCACGATTGGTTGTGATTGATGCCGTTTTCAACCGCTGATGAGGCAGAGGCCGGTTAGTGTCTGAAGTCAAAGTGCCTTCACTTTCGTGGGTATGCAACACGGACATCAATGGGGCCCGAATAGTTGCACTCGGGCGTTTTAATTACATTTTTTTAGTATCCGTCGCATTTCACCTTAACTGAAGCTTCAATTTTTTTCTCATACCTTAATCTAATTTCAGCGTTGTCAGTGTCGATGAAATAATCTGATTTTAATCGCGTATGACTTACATGATTTTAATCGTAATTTTCCGATAAATGGATAATTATAATGTATCACCACGTTGCCGGCCTCCGTTTAATGAGTTTCCATTGTTTGAAACTCTGTTATTTTTCCCTTTGGGAAAGCTAATTTTAACGTTTCAGTGCTAAATTTTCAAAGAGCAATAAATTGCACTGATCCTNGGGGGGGGGGGGGGGACGGCGACCATTCGTCCCTGGAAAAAATGAGCAACGACAGGAAATTATGGCACATCAAAAGTCTAAATACACGGCATTTCTTCCTAAACGTGGGCTGCGTCTAGTCTTTCCTTATGTATTTAAGGTATCCACCGCGAAACATTGTTGCATTCTTTTCTCCGAGGAATGTTCATGTATGTCATTTATCATTTAAAATAATAATCATTATTGGTTAAAGTCCCACTTGACCTTTGTGACCCTTTGAATTTCATGTAAAATACGTAATGCCGCAATCACACGCTGCTTACAGCAGCTGAATGCGGAAATCGGCTGAAATTTTGCAAATTCGAGTTATTTTCATCCAGATGTGTGTCAAATTTATTCGAATAGCTCAGACAAATCCAACATTAGTCCGATGGTTGCTGGGAATCGTTGCTGAATTTTGCGCATGACGCGCAAAATTCAGGCATCGGGCCGATGACTTCCACATTCAAGCCACATTCAGCTCCCACATTCAGCGTGTGATTGCGACATAAGACTATTTATGCTGTCCGGTATAGGTAATACTAATTCTCAGGTTGTTAAAACAGTCTCACGTATTTTTCATTAAATTCAAAAGGGTCACAAAGGTCGTCGTATACGACCGAAAGGGAATAAACAGAGACTCTGATACATTTTAAATTGATATGAACACTGTTTGCCAAAACATGACCGACGAGAGCATTCACTGTCCTGTAAGTCCAATTGCGGGTTTGACAGGTGAAGGCGATTTTAAGCTCTGCAGGCAGATGCTTAACAAAGTTATTGGTGGTCCTTCAGCGATCTCATCAGAAAAGAGAAAACGGAATATTGAGAAAGTGCTGGATGGCAATACAAAAATTTTTTAGGTAAAATCGAGGGTTTACACCGAGGAATAAACCCTGATTATATAAATCAATGGAGTTCAGCAACCACGTTTGATGGATCTGCCTTGCATATAATTTCTTTCTCTGTTTTTGACAGCATTTTATCAACAGAATCCATTTTTTCGACTGGGGTCATCAAACTAAGCGTCAAATTGCGACTGTGCGTTGGTATAAGTTTGAAGAAGTAAAACAGAAAATATTCGGTTCGAAGCTTGAAATAATAAGCAAAATCAAATCTCTTATCTGGATTACTAAAACTTAGCAATAGTTGACAAATTCAAGATAACCTTAAAGTTCGATCTGTACACAGAGAGGGTGCGCACGTCAGTGTCTGTCTGTCGCATTCGCGATTTTTTCAACTTTGGCAATGTGTATTATTTTTGACGCATGACAGCTCTACTGAAGACCATACAAGATTTTGTCACGTCTCATGTTTCAAGTACTTTTGAAGTGCTATGAATGAGAGGAACCATCAGTTGACTGACAAGGAGTCTTAATAATTCCGCATCGGGTAAAGATGAGTGTGTGTGTGTCCGTGGTGTGGTGTTCGTAGTGCTGCAATGTTGGAGTGTTGATTACAGTTGACAAGTTAAACTCAACTCGGTAGCCAAGAGGATTTTTTAACATTATTTATGATGGTAGGTAAAATTAGTTTCATCTTGTTAACAGCACTACTAGTTTTCACTTATCTACCAACGCTTACAGTAAAATCTAAAAATTGCTGTCACCAAGCATTCAAAATTTAATGGCTCCGCATTTATCACAAAATGCCTATTCTTTGTTCATTTTCCAACGCCGAATTCTTCATATTTTTCTCCTTGTTAAACCTACAACTGCTTCCTTGTCCCTCCCCCCTAAAAATTCCCCTAAACCTTAAAGCTCATTTGAAAAAGAGGTGGAGTGTGGGGCCTAAAACTCTGCTCAGTTTTGGAATTTTGCAACACTTGTACTGTCATGCTAAGGAAAAACGTAATAGAAGCATTATTCGGAAAGTATCAAATTTCTCCTGACATAATATTTATTTAAGACGAGATGATTATATGTATTTCTCCAACGTTTGTAGCTGCCTGCTTTGAAATTGCTGATTAAAGTCTCTGAAAAAAATCGAAGGAAAATATATGCACTATATTTTCTCAAAAAATCTGAATGTTACCATGAAAGACTTGGAAACGTCTGAATGTTCTTACGGCGCACAGTGTATCGAGTCAATTAGAGAGGTCAGACTTAAAATGTTTCAAACAAAACCATCAAAACCGCAAATTTTGATGTTTATTCCATCATTTTAAATGTTTAGGGGTGCCTCGTGAAGAAAAGCCCACGAGAAAACCAATGAAACCACTCCCAGAACCGCAAAGTCTCGTATAGGTAAACGGAGTTACAAGCGTTTAAAGTTTTAAAACTATATCCGACCTCTTCTGTTGACTCAATCCACTGTAAGGCGTTTATCCTTAGCATGGTAGAGTCGGTATTTGGAAAATAAGTTGTTAAAAATTTTCCATCCGATGAGGAACCATACACCTGCTGCATCTATGAACTAATGTTGTTGGCAGGCACGTAGTCCCTACCTTGCAGCACTTGCAGTGCTCTCGATTTTGGCACCATCAGTCTCTGCCCGACGACTGGGATTCCTGCACAGATACAAGGACGTGCAAGAACAACTGGACTTTTATGGGGCAGAACACGATGTCGAGGATGGTCTCGACGCAAGGCTTCAATGGTTCGAACAGAAGCTCGATCATTTTAATCCAGCTTGCACAGCTACTTGGCTTCAGGTACAAATATATACTGCCCTCACTTTTCAGACACAAACTATTGAAGGAATGGGGAATATGCAAGTGTCAATTTCGTGTTTAAGTGGAAACTACTGAGTGAATTGAAAGCGAGGACAACCTTGGTTCATGAATTGAACAATTATTGGAGAAGATACGGCAAAACGATTTAATCTGCTAAAATATGTGTGTTAAATGGGAATTGCCACCAGATGACTTCACAAGGCGGTGCATTTTCTCACTTTCCAATCTATTTTTATAATATTTCCCACATCAGAAATACATCATAAAAAATACTCTGAGATCAGCTCTTTAAGCACTTTCAGATGAAGCAATAAAAAATGGGCATGCAAATTCTCCATTGTAGGGTCAGAGATATTAAAACATAGGAAAAGAGAGGGCGTTATATCAAAGCCATACTTGGCAAAGTGGTAATTTCGTCATCCCTTTGACGTAAGGGTGCATTTCAGTTTCCACGTGAGCCCTGTTTCACATATAAATCCATGTTTTCTGGGGCTCGTACGACAATCGAGATAAATTCTCACGTCAGGAGAACGACGATTTGTATGCTACAGGTATGACCACGTGAGTAGACTAGTTACAGGTGAAATCGCACAAAAATCATAGTCAGTACATTAGGATTGTCTGAAATTTACCCTCGATGCACAATTTGCATTTTAAAACACATTCGTATACACATTTCTACTGCAAATTTGTCGCTGACTATCAGGTCAAACCAACTGTCTCGCAAACTGGAGTAAACGCATATTATTAACTAACGAAAAGTCCGTGACTGAAGTCAGTGCAGTGGTCTGGATGCTCTCCCATAAATTGTAATTTTAATGATTGATCACTTCATTAAAGCGGTGGTCTACGAAAAATTACCCGATAGGGACCGTCCATCATTCTTGGAATAAGTCGACTTTAAACAAGTACTGCAACTTCGTTGGTAGGATGTCTCTACAGCAACCTGTTTCTCATAATCTGCAAAAAAAACGCAAAAAAAGCCTCATCTATGTGAGTATTTTTTATCATTTTTTAATACGTAACTGCTAAAATTTTTGTGAAATAGCTAAAATTTTCATAATATTCATCTCAGCAGTTTACTGTAACAAGGGAAAAATGACAAAATCCTGAAGTATTCCATGAGTGAAAAAGTATAGTGTTTTATGTATTTAAAGTTAAACTGCCCGTTCGCCAAAAAATTACATTATTTAAAAAAAAAAGTCAAAGTGCGGCCACAACACTATAACTTCCACCTCTTTATAAGAGGACGTGATTTTGTCAGTTTAATGATCTTTTTGGATATGTTCGTGATGTTTTACTCGGCAAACTCGCATCGGCTAACTTTACGAATAAGTCTTGAGGTCCAGTTACACGATCAAATTGAGCCATCAAATTGGGCCTCTCGTTGGTAGCATTCAGAATAGCGATCAATGAGAGGCCCAATTCGATGGCTCAATTTGATCGTATAACTGGACCTTTGGTATTATGCTTCAGCGCTACGCAGTAAGAACAAAATACTACGATGACAACAATCTGGTATTCCTGTTCATTGAAGGCGAGGGCGTCATACGCAAACAATGGCTCAAGCACGGTCACATGGGTAGGATGGCTGATAAATTCAGTGCTGCCGAGTTTATCATTGAACACAGATTCTACGGAGGAAGTAAACCGAAACCGTAAGTCTCCTCTTTTTTCCTGCTAGAGAATCAATGCGATCGGAATAACACTGGAAAACGTTCAAAGAAAAATGCAAAGCGTCATTCTTTAAAAATTTTCAAATTTGTCAAATTTTTACTAATATCGTGCGATCTACATGCATGTAGATGAAAATTTTCATCTACATGCATGTAGATGAGTATGTGTGTGATGTTTCCTCTTTTTTTTAAAAAAATAATTTGAGGTTTCTTGCAAGAACCAATTTTTCTATTCAAAAGAAATGAACATGTGTGCTTCTTTTGAAACATGGTAGGACAAACTCACCACATCGGTGATGCATTGGAACCATATGGTTCCTACCTCAGTCTTATTATCAATATGTTATGAATAGAACAAGCAGTAGCTACCTGTTACACCAACAACACCATTAATGAGGTCATAATTGAAGAAACGACAACATCGACCGACTTTGTGGATATTTAGTGTTCTTTAAATGGTCATCTCTACACCCATGGGCGTAGAAACTTGCGTTTTTGTCAAAACCATATTTTAGCTAATCTAGAAAATGAAAGAAGATTTAGAAATAGATAGAAGACAGAAAGATCTAGAAATAGAAAATTCCATCTCAAACGTTAAAGACCCATGGATTAAACAAAGAGAGTTCCAAATCTGTAAATACTGACTAAATGTTACTCCTTTTATCATTTTTCCTAGTTTTTTTTTTTCAATCCTAAACAAATGTAGATATCCAGTCCTTTCAATCAGTGTAACCACCTCAGTTTTTTAATCACTCCCATTTTTCAGTGACCTATCCTTAGATTCGTTAAAGTATTTAAGCAGTGAGCAAGCACTAGCCGATCTTGCGCACTTCATCAGAAAGATGAACGTTATACACGGTTTCAATAATCCAAAATGGATCGTTTTTGGAGGTTCTTATGCAGGATCCTTAGCGGCTTGGCTCCGATACAAATATCCTCATTTGGTATTTGCTGCAGTATCCTCCAGCGGCCCTTTACATGCCAAAGCGGATTTTCCAGGTAATTGTGCGTCTACAATAGGTATAAAAGATACATGCCTGAATTTGAGTGAGAGGCTTGAGGTATCTTGCAATCGTAAATATTGCTTCTAGAGATAGATTATTTAAAGGAGTACTGATTTTTCCTTTTTTCAAGAGGATGAATTGGAAAATTTCTTCCGCGGTACCTATGCTATGATTAAAAAATACGCAATTTTCAAACTGCAGGGAGTTTCTATTACTGATTCTAAGCGACTTTAATTACCTGCTTAAAAGCTGAGAGAAAATGGTCTGAGAGGAGGCAAAAAATTGCACGGTGAGCTATTTGAAACTGAAAAATAATTTGTTAGCATCGATCGAACTTTTGGTGTTCCTTATCATCTTAATTATTGGGTTTGTCAAATTGAATGTTCGATTCGTGTTACCGAAAGCGAACCTTGTTCATCAGTTTACTTTGCCGACGAAGTTCGGTTACATGACGGCCAGACCAAAAGTTCGGATTGACAGACTTAATATTTGAATTGATATGGAATATCGATCGCTCGGTTCATATGACCGAATTTTACTTCAGTGTAGTTCGATAATACGATCCGTCCGGTATCTCAACACGAGTGAATGATAACATGATGCTGCAAGCAACCATAACCGCTCCTACGCCGATGACATTGCCTGCTTCGGTCAGCGAAGGCGAACTGGTCAAAATGAGCAGCAACTAAAAATAAGAAGCAATATTAGTCTTCCTCGGTTTACAGTAAATTAATGTGATAAATCTGCTGACATTATTCTCACCATTCAATACATATTACAAGTAAGATGTTGACGAGCACGTATTATTTAATATCTCTTATTTAACCTTGCATTCAAGGTTAAAGGATAACTTCGTTTTTAACCTTGCACAAGCCTCATTGATCCTCATCCTGATAAAGACTAGCGCTGAATCCCAGAAATATTAGTTTTTTCACTTTTCTAAATTTTGTATTAAACCATTATTTATATAATTTGTGCCTTTTTTGATATTTTATTTGAGCAACAAAAATTGGCTCTACTACGAGAATCAATACGGTGCTTAAAAATATTGCTAACTTTTAAACTTTCAAAAAAAAGTCTATATTACAAATCTATATTTGCATGAGGAAACAGTTCATAGTAAATACCTTTGTGTGTCCTCAAGTGTATAATTATTCATTGTTGGCTTCCAATATTTTTTGCAGAATATTTGCAGACAGTTACCAACTCCCTAGTCTCAGTGACCCCAAAGTGTGTTGATGCCATTAAAACCGCCAATCAGAAACTCAGTGCCGGGATGAGAAACGACACAAAAAGAGAGCATTATCGAGAGCTTTTCAGGTTTGTCAACTTGTAGAATAGGATCAAGCAAACGGGACCAGTGGCGTGGCGTGCTTTGCGATATATCGATTGATCTGTCATTTAAACCTACGGAGGAGAATCGATGAACAGGATGTTTGCAACAAACGTCATAATAATCGATTCTTCTCCATAGCTTCATAAATGGGGAAATATCGATAGTCGATCATTCACGCCTCACCACTGAACGGGGCGCCTAAAATAACTACACGTGGGTTCCTAAGGGTTTATTCCATAATGTTGATAGGTACCCTTTGCTTATTTATGTCAATTCATGTTTTTTATACTGGGAGTATGATCTTATCGACCTCCAAAATGGTCAAAATTAATTTGCACTTATACTTACAGTTTTTGCGGAAATAAGTCTCAAAAGAATGACGTTCAAAATATGTTTCCTCCTTCGATGAAATAATCATTTTGTTGCGGAAATGTTTTCAGTGCTGGAAAAATCATTGCCATGCGCGGAACTAGGAACGTTTCGTCGGGGACCAGAAGGCACCTGGAAGTCTGGGAGAACAGAAAAAAACACACAACTAAGGGGAGCTCGCCTGCGCCTGCGGGACTTTCCTAACTTTATGGAGAGTTCGGGGGGCCTCCTCCGGAATATTTTGAAAAACTGAGTAGTCCCAAGGCAATTTTGAGCTGATCTCCAAATTGGTCCAATACCAATTTCCAAGATGAGATCCATGCACTCGCTCAGCAAAGTAACTCACATTTCTTTGGAAGGGCCAAGTAGATTTCTGAGGGGCCAAACCCGCTGACCCCAACTCTTTTGCGCCAATTCAGCCGTTTTTCTGCTACTATATATAGTGCATAAGAAAAGAACAGATTGTTATCTTTTGAATCTTTTACAGGCTTTGTGATCCGCTTGCATATGATGATAAAGATATTGCAACATTCTTTGAATTACTCACCGATAACATCGCTTACGTTGTTCAGTACAACCGAAACCGAATGAATACAGACAGTGACAGAGCATACATTGACATGGATGCTGTTTGTAAAATCATGACCGATGAAAGCATTCATTGCCCTGTAAGTCAACTTGAATTTTTGGCAATCAGTTTAATTAATTACATACGCATTTTAAGTGTGAAAAACTTCGCAAATAATTAATTTTAATTACTTATATCAAAGATCTGTGTGGTTCTGACAATATATTGCCAATGTTTTAGTTTTTAGTGATTTTTAAAAATAACGAATCCGCAAACTAAGAAGCAATCTTAAAGAAATTATGCCTCATGTTGGTCAAACTTGAAGCAAACTCGTTATTTTACAAAGTATAAGTAATGCGTTGGTGCCTAAGTTACATGCATGAAGCTAGACTTTTATCATTGAGCACTATATATGAAAAGCACACGTTTTTCAAGAAACATCAATAATTTTTATTGTTTGTGATGTTGTGACTCAATATTACGTTGTAAGGATCAGCTGATCATTTGCGATTGAACAGGTCCATCGTTATGCGGAAGTCAACAAACTGCTCCTGACTCACTTCGGACAGCAATGTGCGGATCACAAGTACAATTCAATGGTTGATTATTTGAGAAGCACCTCGTATGGCTTGGAAACCAACAATTGTAAGTTATCGTACTGTTAATAAAATAATTTCAAGAAGGGGTACGGCCTCTAGATACTAAAAGTAACCCCATGACAATAGAAGTATTTTCTTGAAAGAGACGAAACTAAGTACATCCCCATGAATTCTTGGAATAAAATTCGGGGAAAAAATAAGTGAGATATTTTTTGCACTTGCGGATTAATTCAAGTGAGTTTTGCATTAAAATACTTTGATAAGCAAATTTATACCTCGGAATTTTCAGCTATTACTCAAGATTGAGAATTGTAAACACTCGCCGAAAATACAAAGGCTCCGCTGACCAAGGTAGTTTTTCAATTTTTAAGCACCACAGTGATGATTCTACGCAATTATAGATAGAAAAAACATAGTCTCCTAATAAATTGAATCAGATTATAATTTATTTATTTTTTCATTCCATGTCATATATTTTCAAATAATGTTTATAAAGGGTTCATCCAAGAAGGTGACTTTGAAGAACTCAAGAAGAGCAGGACAAAATAATAATAGCATTGTTCATTACGTACTATGTTGTTGATCATTTGTCCGGTATTTCAGTTCGGCAGTGGTTCTACCAAACATGCACAGAGTTTGGATGGTATCAAACGTCTAACAATAAAGACGATGTTTTTGGTGACAAAATTCCGGTGCAATATTTCATTGACCTCTGCACTGACGTATACGGACCAAGGTAAATTTTGACGCATCAGTCTCATGTTTTCATGTTGATTTGCTTCAGGTGTGCATGAGTAGTAAACAGCGTTTGAACTTCTTTGTTATACATACAGATCCGCATGATACTTTTGTTGTTGAAAGTTCATCGAACCTTTGGGAAGAATCCGTCTCAATCCAATTATTTAACCTTCAGGATTTACAGGACTAAGACAGATATCTCTCTTGAAATCAAATATTTTGCTTGCTATGATACTATACTCATTACATGTAACAAGGTGGAGAAATGGTGCTGGGTCCACACCATTTCGCGGGGAAATCAAAGCCAAGAAGTTCCAAAAAATATAATTAGAGTCAAAAATAAATATGTTCAACTCCAATGAGCACCAGTACAAAACTGAGGTGGGGGGGGGAGTGTTCATTAGAGGTACTGACTAGAGTTAATAAGATTTATTTTTGACTCTAATTATAATTTTTTGAACTTCTTAGCTTTGATTTCCCCAGTGGACCCAGCACACTTTCTCCACCTTGTCTCATACAGTATTCGGGCCACTTCTTAGTGTTTTTTACTCATTATAAGTAGACTTACATATACATATGTATGTATATTTATGTGTGGTGATAATCTTTCAAAGCAAGCTGAAAAACTTGTCATAGTTAATTATCCTTTAAACAGTATGGAATTGGATCTTTTGGTGACCATTGCTGTTTAATTTGTGTTGTTTTCAGCTTTAACAATCAGCACGTGAATGCATCCACGGAGGAGACGAACACTAACTACGGAGGGTACACGTTGCCCGTGTCTAGAGTGATATTCGTGCATGGATCAGTAGATCCATGGTCACCACTTGGTATTACCTCAAATCCACCAGACGGAAGTTATGCTATCTTCATCAAAGGTGAGTTGAAGGAATCCCTAAAGGTAAATTGTATCTAGTGATGTTGATCATCTCTGCCATCATGGGTAAAATCTGATTGATTTGCAATTTAACGTGATGGTATCAATTTACATTAAGTTGAAAACATACTTATGTAGTTTTATTCAGAATCTGTCTGAAGAGCAGACGGTGATATTACTCTGCGAGCAACAAATGAAACTGCATTCAAAAATGTTCTTTTTTCAAATGTAATATGATTTCTTACAACGTACAGACTCCAGGGCCGGATTTACCTACTTGTCGCCCATGGGCCGCTTATGTGTTTTGCCGCTCAATTCTCATTCGTTTTGAAACATCAATAAAAACCATCAAGTGAATGAGGGCGGAGGGAGAGGGGTGCATAAGACGCGTTTACTCTTGTTAGACCCCTTTTCTTTGCGAAAGTCCTGTCAACACTATTTGCAAAAGTTCACGGAACTTTGCGCGAAAGTTAAGTTCCGTAAACCTATCTCTGCGTGGACAAGAAATGAACGAAAAGATCATGAGAGAACACACATAAAGGTGGTTTAATAATCTTAACTTCTGCCACCGCGCGCCGCGCGGACCGCACCGTATTTGGCGCAATGCGTGAAGTATTCATGCAGTCTTGTAGGCGCTAGGCGTTTGGCGCCGACCGTTGCTATCCGCACTGTGTTTGACGCAATGCGTGAAGTATTCATGCAGTCTTGTAGGCGCTAATATGTGTTACATGCCGACCGCCGCGCTGAAGGCTTCTCCTTTTCATCTCAAGTCCTCGGCGTCATTGCTCTCTGTGCCGCGCCGCTCCAGGTCAAATTGTGTGTTTGGTTTCTCTCTTAATTCGACTAATTAAAGGTGCTGTCTCTTGTGTCAGCAAAAGACAAATTGCTCAAAATTGAAAATTACCATACTCTCAGGAAATGAGAAATTTTGTTGCCTTTCTAGTTTGTAATTTTGTTTCTATATCCGTTTTTTTTATACGAACATTTACAAAAATTGCAAAATTCCCCCCCCCCCTTAATTTCCCGCTATGGGCCGCGGCGTATGTGGCTATGCCCTATAGAGCCGGCCCTGACAGACTCTCTTTCGTGTGCTTGAAGTTGTATAGTTCCAACTGAAGCAAAAAAGCACCTAACATGATTTTTCGTTTTATTTCCATAAAAGTGACCTACCCACATTTGCAGTACTGCAAATCAACTTTCAAAGGTCACTTAGTGCATACTTCCAATCTACAATGTTAATGTAAGAATTTTTTTAATTTCGTGAATAATTTAACCCCTATTATGGGAGTTTCAGGGGTGGCGCACTGTGCAAGCATGTTACCTGAGACTCGAGACGACCCACCTCAACTGACTGAAGCCCGGGAAAAAATAGAGAAAATTGTCGGAGATTTGATCATAAAGAAAAACCATTCGTCGAGAAAGCGAACTTTTGTCTTCGGAGAATGAAATCTATCAACTATTTTTACGATGAGAACCACCAAGGACGTTTTATAACCCGACATAATGTTCACTGCAAGCCCACCGCCGAATAATGGTATCCATAGAAAAAAGAGAGAGAAGACTACTTTCTAGTATACCTCAGTGTAACTATTCACTGAAACCCCGTTTAAAAACGCCAAGAAATATTAATTCTTGAATCAAGAATGATATTGCTTAATTTAATAGGCTTTTTGTCAACACTTTCTATTAAAGCGTGTTTTGCCGATTATTCTTGGTTCATTCCACCCAGACCCGTGTGTATACACGTACCGCTATCTCAACCACTTACGCATATTTCATTTAGTGTGACTGTTCTTCTGTAAATCGTGTCTTATTCAAAATTTAAATATAGTCATTTCAGCCCTTCAAAATTCTATTTTTCATTTCATTTGCTCTCCTTTTATATTATATGATACTCCTTTTTGCTTATCCCAATCTATTTTGTTCTCGTCCCAAGAAAAATTTAGATTAAATCAGGATGAAAAAAACTCTCGGCGGCAAATTCAAGACTCATCGTCTTCAGCCAACCATTTTTCTCTGTGAACGTGAAAACTTCTATCTTGTTTGAACATGGCTTTAAACAAGGACAGAATGGCTTAAACGTAACTCACATCAGAAAGGAAATGCTATCACTTTTGACGAAACGAAGTGGATCAGAATGATTTAGAAACCAGCACTTTCTGATTAGCTGTTGTTTTTTTTTTTTAGTTTCATTTGTGCCTGGTTTTGACTCGTTATCTATTAAGTTTATTACATTTACACGTAATTTATGAAACTCTCGTGCAGCTCTTGTCAGAAATTATCATTAATTAATTCTTTTCTGAAGTGGAGTGATTTATTTCCTCCTTGTCTAAACCGAATTCTATTTTATTTTGTATGTTTCTGTATGTTTTTTTATGAATAAAAAAAAATTGAATTTATATATTTAGCTCTCTCTGCTTGTAGATCACAGTATCATAGTCGTTGAATTACATAGAGAGACACAGTTTTCAAAAATTGCAATAAAAGTATGGTTGTTTAAGTAAAGTTATTTTAAAAATGGAATCGTCAGTTGAGTACTGAAATAACAAAACACGCCGCTCGAGTGTCCAAACGGAAAATGGGAAACAACTTGCCTCTTTTTTCTAAACTGTACTTTCATTACTCTGCTGCAGTGGACGCCTCTTATAGTGGCTTATATGGGCTAAGTTTTGACAAAATTCTTTTAATAATTGATATTTGAAGAAAGTATACCTCAATTTTAACCACGGACATCATGAGCCAGCCACTCAAATCAAAGGTCAGTTTTATTGTTGGCATGATGGACGAGTTGTCATAATACTCAACTAGACTGATTTGCCTTCATTTGATGGAGTAGGCAAAATGAGCTCCCAAGAGCATCTATGGTAAAATCACTCCGTCAACTTTCTTAATTACGGCTCTTCATCGGTTTCTCTTGTCCCAAACCCGTCTCCGAATGTTAATTAAGAGGGTTTAAAACTGATGCATTATTTTATTAATTTGAGAATAATCAACAAAATATTTTTTAAATTACATAATTTTTAACACGGACGAGTGTTCTTATGATTTCTTCACTCTGACTCTTCAATTATTAATCTCTTCACAGCACACCTATTGAATTTTTGAAGGTTTGTTGATTGATGCTGACCAAACGCTCACCTCTTGGCAGACATTCTGCTACGGTTGCGAATTCACATCACGTTAAAAGACGAGTCAGTTTCTAGAGCGGAGATCAGCAACTGCATCTGAGCTTGCCCAGACCGTGTGACGTCCGTGATCTGTTAGTGACGACGAACAAATCGAAATGTCATCGACGAGACAGCCGAATTTTTGGCAGGTGCGGCTAGCCGTCGGCACATTGCTAAGTAGCACTCATATTCGGAAATTTAGTTCAAATTTTAAACGATGGCCGTCCGGATGAACTTTTACCAAGCATTTGACAACCAGGCCTTTCAGCAGACTTCCTTACCTTGTATCGCTTTTGATCATGGCGGAATGCGAACTAATCAAATAATCTCTCCCGCGTGTTGTTACATTGAGCAATGCACAAATTCACAATGTTCCGATGCGATTTTCCACCGATCCAATAACTGACTTTTTTTTTTGCGTTAGACAATGCAAAGTTATGGAATTTCACTTCAACATTTCTAGTCCCTCAGAGCTGAAACGAAAACCGTCGATGGACCAAATAAAACACAATTTACTGAGGAAGCACATGAGTCTTTGGAATACTGCTCGATTAAATACTTCCTCGCTTATTTACAAACAGGATATGCACAACACTATTTGAAATTGAGAAAAAAAGAGAGAATATAGAGAAATACAAGTATATAAATAGAGCTTTTTATTTTTGACCTCAGATCCCGAAAAAACAAAAATTTAAATGCCTTTCGGCGCTGTCGACTCATGCTTCACGAAGGTCTACTGGCACTAAGCGCCATCGACACCCCTTTCACCCTAGTAACCCTGGTTAAACAACTGATAATATTCCTAAAGAAAAAGAACATCAACGAAAAGGATAGCGATAAATAGAGATGAGGAGCATGCGCTTCTTTAGATGAAGCACTTACAACGATGTCAGATGAGGAACAGAGAACTAAGGAGTCAGCGAACATTCGATGGTAATACAAAAGAGAAATATTCGCATCGCCATACTTGAAGTCTATGGCATTATATATTTATTTCTGAAAACAGTTGGCACACTGTTAATGTGTCGAGCCTTGCCACGGAGAAAAAAACTTCGTGCATGGGACCCAAAGTCAAGGTCATAGGGATTTCTGAAGTTTTGGGATCACGCATCCGAAAACTTGAGGTCCAACTGCCGAAGTTCGGGTCAGACTTCTGAGGTACTTCGGTATATATCGAAGGGTTCAGGTCACACATCTGAAGTACTCCAGTACACACCGAGAGCTTCAGATGTCTGACCCGAACTTCGGCAGTTGGACCTCCAGTTTTCGGATGCGTGATCCAAAAACTTCAGAGATCCCTATGACCTCAACTTCGGGTCCCATGCACGAAGGTTTTTCTCCGTGTGGGTACTCCCACGGAGCCGCGTCAGGCAGATTTTCCTTTACTTGAATGATTCGGGTCCAAACCATCGTTTGCCTAACCGCTAAGCTAATGAGGAATGCGCTGGTTGGTTGGTAGATACGTTTATAGGAAAGTACACAAAATTAAAAGATAGAACAAGGAAAGAATACATTAAATTTGGGGATTAACTGTCTGAGACGCGAAGGTGCACATGCAAAACCCTTATTGCGTGCATCTTACGGCACTGGGTTCGGGATGAGGGTAGTGGCGAGGCGTGAATGATCGAGTATCGATGTTCCCCCATTTGAGGCTATAGTAACGAATCGATTTTTAAGGTGTCCGTTGAGAACACCCGGCCTGTTAATCGATCCTTTTCCATAGGTTTATACGACAGATCGATCGATACATCGCAAAGCACGCCATGCCGCTGGATTTAGGGGACGTCAAAGAGCTCCGATAAAGCTAACGAACTAATCGATACCACAATAGACGCTCTGGGGAGCTCATTTTGCCTACTCAATCAATTGAAGGCAAATCAGTCTGAGTGACTTTCGTTGTAACTTTCCCCAAACACCAACAATTAGAAATTGCTTTGATGAGTAGATCTTTAGTTATTCTGTTGTAAAAGTTGTATTCATGGCAGAGACGAACGTACTTAAAATTTCATTTAATTAATGAATGATGTCAACATTCAATCCGTAAAAATAACGCTAATAGGTTTGATTTAAGTACGCAACACAGATTTAAACTATTATTCATGCATTATCTCACAATCTATTACGGATTGTGAGTCACGGTCAATTTTATTGCTTACTGTCAATATAATCCACACTTTTAAATTACAATTCGGTATTATCGGCACTAAAGTTTTAACACAATCATGAAGAATTAATTGAGATTTACACTTAAGCGTCGCAAAAATTTGGTGTGAAAAAAAGAGAGAAAAAGAATTCTTGATTCCTCCATCCTTGGAAAGTTCATGAATCTTGAAATATCTATTTTTATTTATGATGGTGCACTTTTTTCGGCATGTACTATGATATATCGATGGTGAAACTACCGGACTACGTATCTTGTTTGCGGTGTTTAAAAGTCTCTCCTCCCATTTTATTTTTTTAAAACAGAACAAATAAATATCATTCCTGGAAATTTTCACAGACATTTCTCAGTGCAGAGAAAAAAAAATCACGGAAGATTTCAAGAGCTCTCATTAATTAGTTTTCCATTTAAAAAATAAAGTATGACAGGAAATTTACAACGTCGCAAACCGAGATACGTGGTCTGGTAGTTTCACCGTTGATATACAATGTGTGGATATGACATTATGAATGAGATGGTTCCAAGGAGTTTCCCAAATTTTTACTTCGCGGTGACCAGTAGATCACATTCGCCAAATCTGGAATCATACATACAGCATCATACTTGCTTTCCTTCCAGTCCACATAATGCTAGTAATTAAGAGGCAATTTCTCCGGCTAACGGAGCCACCACTTGCCCCGGTATAAATATCCCAGCCCTGATTCCGCGAAGCTAGTCCCACTACTGCTATTACGTACTAGCATACTGATTGTAAGTGCCGCGCGTGCTGAGGCTACGGACGGTCGGATTATGTTATCGTTCTACGTAAGTACAAACAACGAGTGCTGATTGATATATTTTCTTCATCTCTAAAATTTAATTCTAAAAATGCAGTGTTTCAGTGTTTTGGGGCATTTTAATAATTCATTGTCTCTGTTGAGCAGTGTCCAGTGAGTGTTAGTTCTCCTTAGTTGGTGGCTACCTCCATCTTTTACCCCGATTGGTGCCTTCTGGATGCTGCGAGAGTCCTAGGACGCACCAGCTAATTTACCTACTTTTACTTCCTACATTCACCGGAAAAAAAAGGTGTTCAAAAAATGTGCGACAACTCTTGAATGTTACTACAGCAACTTTTTTCGGTGTTAAACTGTACAGCGATACTGTTAAAACAATTAATTCCGTGTAGTCTTATTATCAATAAAAGTTTAAAAAAAAAATCAAAATTCACTTGTTCCGAAAAAATACATTGAAATTTTTTCCGGCCCTGTGGAAGGCCAAATACCACCTACACCTATACTCACATGAAAAAATCTCATTATAATTTATACGATGTTACTTAAATAATACAATCTAAATAACTTTTTCTTCTTCCTCTTATTTTCTTTTCTTTTCTACTTTGATTCCTTGTATATTCAGAAAGAAAGATAATTTGCATATAAGCAACAAAGTTAAATAAAAGGAATTATAAGAAGACTCCTGATTACAATTAAACCAAGCAACATTAAATAAATAAATTTCCGGGCACAAAAAAAAGATGCAATCAAAATGCTACTGATGTTTACACCCAATTCAACCCTACTAACCGAAGAAGTAATGGAGATTTTAAAACAATAAATAAAAAATAATAACAGAAATAATAATTGAAATTCTTCCCGCGAAATTCAGGGTCTAGAATCTGAGAGAGGAAAAGAAGAAGAGTCTCCGAAATTACAGTTCTGTATACCATCGGCTTAAGGGGGGGAGCGTGGGAAAAAAGCAGAAAGCGAGGGCTGTTCAGAAATAATTTCAAATATCTAATTACAATGAAATACGTTCCTACGTGAGGTATATTTGGAACATGTTTAGCAGAAAGGAACCAAGCCTAGCCACATCAGCTATACTGCCAAATTTAACTGGACAGTTAAAATTACAAGAGAACGTCTGTGAGGATTCCTTTGAAATTTTTAAGGAACTTTCTTCGCTTAGAAAATTAACCGAAATTTGCACAAAAATCCGCACAACAATTTTCAAGTTAAAAAATTAAACCACTCAATTAAATTTGGCGATAGCAGATGTGACTTGGTTCCTTTCTGCTTAATGCGGTCCCTTTTTCATCGGGTGGGACTCACATGTTTTTTGACGAGCATTACGGGACGGCTGTACAAAAATTTATTTGTGTTGAAGTACATTATAGGAAAAAAATAGTAATACATAATAATAAACTAACTCGCACCTGCTTTTCATCCCGAATTTTGTTACAAATTTTTAACCCAATGATTTGATTGGTGTAACCTAGAAACATGTAACCGCATGTTCAGGTTACTTTCTGTTCTACTTCCCATAGTAAGACCAAAAGTGGTTTAATTTGTCCTACTATGTAGCTCCCTGGTCCATTCTAATTCATATATTTCCTACCAATGATAGTGTAATCTTCTCGAAAACCGCAACAAAGCTTTAAAACGTAGAGTTAATCAGATTTTTCTCAACTTAGAGTATAAACTTAAAATCCACATGGCAAAACGCTCCCGTAAAGGGACCTAACTTCATCCCGAAAGCAGAAGTTTCCACCTCTCACTAAATAAGTGGTAGAAAGTCTCTATGTCTCTTTGCCCATTCTAACGGCTTCCCTCCCTCATAGATTACGATCTTTGAATTCAGGGCCGGATTTAGGGGGTGGCCACATTGGCTCGGCCCATGGCGGCAAATTTTGAAATATGTTCAAATGTAGGTATAAAAAAATCGGATTCAGAAATAAAATTACAAACGAGAAGAGGCCACAAAATCTCTCATTTCCCGACAGTAAAGGTATGTTAATTTATAATTTTGTCGTATTTCGGTGATACAAGAAATAGCACCTTTAATTAGTTGATTTAAGAAAGAAACCAAACACGCAATTTGGCCCGGAATGGCGCGGCGCAGAGAGCAAATTATGACAAGGACTTACTTGAGAACCTAACTTGAGATGAAAAGGAGAAGCCTTCAGCGCGGCGGTCGGCATGTAACACATATTAGCACCTACTAGACTGCATGAATACTTCACGCATTGCGTCGAACACAGTGCGTTCAGCAATGATCGGCATGAAACGCATAGTGCCTACAAGACTGCATGAATACTTCACGCATTGCGCCAAACACAGTTCGGTCAGCGCGGCGCGGCAGCGCGATGGCTGAAGATAAGATTATTAAACCAGATTTACGTTTATTCTTTCACAATGTTCTCATTCATATCTTATAAATGGAGGGCCTTGTCCACACAGAGATAGTTTATGGAACTTAACGTTCACGCAAAGACATAAAGACGGAGTGCTCGTATCTGAAAGCACGGGGAAAAATTGAAGCCTGGTTTTGTGCTGGGTGCTTGTGTCAGTGTGTAAATGAGCGCGGGAATTCACGGCGGCAAACGTAAAGATTTGACCTTGTCCTCTTGATTCTTCCACATTTCTTCTTCTGAACGTATTTTAAATACCTACAACGAATATATTAAGAAAGTTGGGACATTGAATTTTTATCATACACCTACTTTCGCTCGGTAACAAGCAGTAATCTCACATAAAGTTAGTTCTTCTTGTGCTCATGGTGGTCCTGCCGGTTCAAACAGGCCGTTACGGTCCTAGATGACCGTTACTCCCAAATGAAATTAATTGGTCTATGACGGACCAAAAATAACCTAAAGCTAACAAAATATATGTGGGTAAGTGAATCTGGGCAAAAATCAACCTAGAATACTTTGTTTACGCAATTTTATTCAGTTCCCGCCCTCCATTTGAATTTCAAACTTGTCTCGATTTTGCCGCCAATCCTCGAGCCAATAGTAGAGGTGGTTGAAAAGAAGCTTCATTTTTTGCTTTTAGCCCTCCGTCTTTATGTCTTTGGTACTCTAGATCCAAGTTCCTGACCTGATGTTGTTCCGTTTCAGCTGCTGGCGGCGTGCCTGGCGGCGCTGGGCCTGGCGTGGGGCTACGAGCACGAGCACTATCCACCCCCGCACTACAAGTTCGGCTACTCGGTGTCCGACCACCACACGGGCGACTTCAAGGCGCAACACGAATTCCGCGAGGGCGACGTCGTCCACGGCTCCTACTCCCTCGTCGAGCCCGACGGACATCTCCGGACGGTCAAGTACTCGGCCGACCACAAGCACGGCTTCAACGCCGAGGTCCACAGGAAGTACCTCGGCCACCACCACCACCCCCCACCTCGCAAACACAAGGCCCACCACCATTACCATGGTTGATACTCGAGGACTCGCTTTAAGAGCTAAGGTGGGCATTGGTGGATCCAGCAAAGTGGCAACGTTGTTTTTCTTCATTTGAACCTATGGAAATGTATCGATTCTTAGAGGGGCCAGGTGCTCCGACAAGAATCGATTATTTAACATAGGTTTAAATGCAGGAAATCCCGTGTTGCCAAATTGCTGGATCCGCCTATGAAGGTGGGACTCCACACCGAAAAAAAAGTGTGGTTGATTTAACTTTCTGGATGTAAAGAAGTGTGCGAGAACTCTCAAAATGCTGAACTACCCGCTAGTATAGTAGTACCTGCTGCTGTAGTAGTTAACCCAGCATTTGTAAGTTCTCGCGCACTTTTTTTTTACATCCAATGTTAAATCAACTTCATGTTTTTTTCGGTGCACTGAGAAACAAAATGAGGGGCTCGGAGGCACGGCGCACAAGTGCAGTTTAAGAAAAAATTGAGGTATTAATGATTTCAATTGAAACTAAATAAAAATCACTATCTAAATCGGTTTTAAAATATATCGCTTATGAAACTGCAGAAATGCGTATCTCGGTTCGCGGTGTCGCAGACTTCCTGTCATACCATATTTTATTTATAGAAAACTACTGAACGTCATCTTTTGAAAATTTCAGTGATTCTTCTTCCGTTTATGAAAAGTATTGTGTGAAAACTTCAAGTCATAATGTTGCACGGTCTTCCTTTAAAAATTAAATTAGGAGCGGAGTATTAGAAACACCGCGACCGAGATACGCATGTTCGGAGTTTCACCGTCGATATTTCGTGAAAAATTCACAACTAAAATCCAATTTTTATGCATCAAAAAGTTTTGAACTTTCTCTCTGCCATAAGGCTCCATGTAATTTTGCAGCTTTAGACACATATTTCTTGCAATTGCAAAAAAACTGTACCATGTGCACAGTCAGACCTCTTAAAATGAGACATCGGTTAATATGGAATGTTGAACACAGAGTGACCTAAGCCATCGGTTGATTCTGGGGTTTCCTGAATTTTACATTGAACGATAGATCTAGCTTGGTGGAAAATGAGCCAACTTTAAAATGTTTCTATTAATCTAGTCACTCCGATTGTTTTTACTTTTATTACCAAATACAATTCAAGTTCTGGAGGGCGATTTACATTTTTTAAAAGGTAAATATTTGAAAAATCAATTTCTGCCGATTTGATGAAATGTTTAGCCTTTAAGATTACCCAATCGAAAAGTTCAAAGCTCTGTCAATTCGGACATGATATTCATACCACTTTTTTCAAGTACGAACTAAATATGAAAACTCATGGCTAAAAGAGTTCATAATTTTTGGATCAAGAATTATTTTAAAAAACTGACGTTACTTAGAATGTTTGAAAATATATATTTGTGTCATGAAAACACCAATATGTTTGGTAAAAACTTGATGTAATCTCAATCCTTTGTTTTTGTTATTATTGATTAAATAAAACAACAAGTTACCAGAGTTTATTTATGATCATTTTCACTCAATCTCTGTCCTACTTTAGTAAAAAATATACGTTAAGAAGGTACTAAACCAATATACAGCAACACTTTTGCAATGATGACACGCAGGCAAAGCGATTTAGACATAAGGACAACTCGAGAATGGGGCGATCCTATTGGTGGAAACGCGTGATTGTAATGGACAAAACCGCCGTGCTAAGGAAGACCGACGTATGGACATACGAGAGTTCCCAAATTCCCCTTGATAAAACATGTACTTTTGACAACATTTTTGCATATTTTTCCTTGGGATTTTCAGATATTTTAGATTAAACTGCGTAAACAATTGCCTGAAAATGTTGGAAAATAACATTCATATAACTTTCCCAGTACATTCGGTCTTTATCGGAGGAAACTTGGCAACGTCGGAAGGTTCATACGACGTTTTTCCTAAGCACGGCAGAAAGGAGGTAAATAATAGACTAATCAACGGCACCAAACAAGGAACCCTACAGTAAGTCCACCATTTCCTCCCATAGTCAACAGGAGCCACCCGTTTCAACCAATAGGATCGCTCTATACTACCTATGTTTTCTTTGTCTATAGCTTTGTCTATCAATATTAATAATCAGCCCGCAGGTAGGACTTCGTCTTGTCTTACTATCTTACTGACGAAGCGAGAAATAATTTCAACGGTCGGCCCGCTGATGATCTATCTCTGTAAAAGCTCCATTGAAATATTTTTGATACGAAAATATTATCGAAGGAAAATCCTGACGGGCCAAGAAAGAACGCCGTGCGAACATTCCAGAGTTGCCAAATTTCGCCAGATAACGCACGTATTTTTGGAAAACTGTATGCATATTCTTCCTCAAATTTTTAGATATGTTCGACTGAATTACGAACTAAATTGACTGAAAAATTTGAAAGAAAATCCTCACAATTTTCCTGGTAAATTCATGTTTTATCGAACACTGGAAAAAAAAAACACATTGGATCTAGAGTCCAGACTTTTGAAAACATTGACAAGAAAAAATACTCTTGATTCAATCAGATTTAAGCTTAAATAAGAAAGAAAATCCGCTCAAATTAAGAGGCTTGGTCCTTGATTTAAGCACAAATCCGATTGAATCACGAGTATTTTTTCTTGTCGATGTTTTTAAGAGTCTAGACTCTGGATCCAATGTGTTTTTTTTTCCCCAGTGAAGGAATTATGCCAACGTCTGAGGATTCATACAGCGCACCGAAAGAAAAAGGATGCTGATTTAACATTCTGGATGTAAAAAAGTGTGTGACAACTCACACAACGCTGAATTAACCGCCCCAGTAGTTAGTTTTACATCTTGATACTGCTAAAGTAACTGTCGTAGCGGTTAATTATTCAGCATTTTGTGAGTTGTCGCACACTTTTTTACATCCAGAATTTTAAATCAGCATCTCTTTTATTTCGGTGCGTTCTTCCTCCGCATGGCAGAATAATTTATTTTCATGGTGCAATCCGGCATCCATGATTACATCATAAAGACAAAGACAAACCCGGGACGACAGCGATGACGCTACTATGAGCGGTAATGCCGTAGTCTACGACCCGTATAGGGACGCGGGCAGGCTGCTGTAAGCCGTAAGTACATTTCCCAACGGGCCACGAATATAGCACATGCTGGTGTGTGTCTCGAAGCTCATCACAGACTGCACTTACGATTCTTTTGCGTAACGCGGGAGCAGGGCTCTGGGATGGGCCCAAAATAACTCCCATCCATACCGCCCTGTCGAACGGGCCCGCGGATGTCCCCTGGTCCTCGCGACTGCATCCCAGTTTCCCGCGCTTCGCACCGCAAACAGGTACCGCACCCACCCGCGCGCTTCAGCCCTTGTTTCCAATCGCTCATGTCACGTGCTGTCAATACTCTCTTGAAAAATAAGACGCAATGCTGTGTTAACACGGGAAGTGAATTAGGGGCCAGCTTCAGGCGACTCGCATTTACGCGCATTTTGAATTTAGATCAGATAATTCCCCGGAAAGTGGCGTGTATATTGTCTTTAAATGAGGGGTGCATTAAAGCTATGAGAGCAATGGACCACTAGACAAGGTACGAATTTCAGCATTCTGATGCATGTTTCGTAAATAAAATTTCACGTAGAACACGATGCGCACAACAAAAAATACCGCAATTAACTCCTTACGAAGATATTTAATATGATTCTTGATGCGTGAATTCAAACCATCCGCTCATGAAAACCCAATGCTCTACGTGATTCACATCGTGCGCTAAACATTATCATGACAGTCTCTGAGGTATAAAAATTTGGCAACCTCAATCTTGACGCTTTGGCTCAGCTATAGCAAATTACTTATAGTTTGAACAACACATGGTGGGAAATGAACATTGCTCGATTGAGAAGCTTGCTGAAACCGTTGTAGTGCGCGATTTTGACTCTCGTAGAGCTTTGAGTTTCTTGTGAGCGGGCAGTTCAAATTCCTCGTAACCAATGTGAAATAAAAAGGTTAATATCTTCGTTAAGAGTTGGTTTCAGTAATTGTTGTTGCGCGAATCGTGTTCTATGTGAAATTCCGGTTAAGAAACATGTATTAGAATGGTTAAATTCGTACCCTGTCTAGTGGTCCATTCCCCGGAAAGTGGCATGCATATTGTCTTTAAATAAGGGGTGCATTAAAGCTAAGAGAGCGATTATTGAACTTTTTTGCCACGATTTTAGTTCTCTAGTAAAAATACTTGATGAGCTGCGTTCATAACATTTCATAAAAATTTTCTGACGAAAAACGAATTCAAATTCGAGGAATACCATAGTGATGTCTATGGCCCGTAGTGATGTCAATTTAAACCCTTGTGTATTCGATCGAATTTTCCTTCAGAGTCGAGGTTTTGAAAGTCGAGGACATACCGATAATTAACCTAATCAGTGATTTTCTCTCATAAATTATTTGTATCAATTCTTAGGCGTTTGCAAATCCCCAATGAGGATGAATCTCCATTTTTTTGTGGGGTGAAAAAAGGGGCAGGTAGAAGTGTAGAGAATCAAGTCTATCAATTGACTTCCACGAAAGACATTAATCCCTCTAGTTCAATTTTCTCAGATTTTATAAATGCAAAGTGCCTCGATGTGATCAAAAAATAGATAATTTTGCAATCAGAGAATATGCACATGAATGATATTGCGGCTTTGATATTTCAATTTATGGGGGGAATATTTTTCGTAAGCTGGATTTATTATCAAGACGCTTTTAAAAAGAGGCTAATGATTTAGTATTTATATTTGGCTGATTTGTGTTATACATTGTGCTTAGCATGGCAATCGGAACGTGAAAATTAGTGTGGCATAAATGAATGGGGTTGTAAGACCCACCGATTTCAAAAAGGTAGCTTGTTAAGGAAGACTCGAGGGTCTGTTTAAGAACAACTAACCCTGGCATTTGCTAGAAAAGCTTTAAATTATAAACTCATATGTCCAAAATAACGATCCTAATCTTACATCATTAGCCTGAGATAGAGTTATCCGCTCATTTCGTTAGTTTGCGCCAATTCGTCATGGAACCCAATTATACTTTTCCAATAGGCCACAAAAATGGGTTTACGTGACAGGGAACTAATTTGTAGAGGCTGTTAAAGTCCGCCCCCCATGGACTCATAGTCACTCAAAAATACATTTAAAATCTTGTAGGAACTCCTTTCCTTTTGTCAGAAATAAGAGTTTCGTTCAAAAGTTGGCTGCAATGTAATCTAATAAAGGATCTTTTTCATTATTCTTTTGGAATATTGCAGTTTTGAGTACTACGGTTAGCTGAATATTAAGACGTGCGCCTTGTTTTTGCGTCACTGACATGAGACATAAGTAATTGGGGGTATTTAGACGGCTAATTCAGTTTCAATGGATAATGCGTGACCATCAAAAAATTAATTTTTACTTATTTTAAAAAAAGAACAAATATTAAAACAGATAAAAAACTAATAATACACGAATTTACAGTTAATTACAACTTGCCTAAGAGGAGATTGTAAATTAGGGGAACCTAATCAAATGTGTAATTTGACTCAATATTTTGATTAGGATGACGAAAAATAATTTATCCGTCCTAATTCTTCATCTTCTGATGATTTATCGGTCATTCACTACAAATTACAAGAAAAAGTGTCTCTTTTCCATATGCTTCTCTATAATTACCTTAAAAATTAAAAATTATTGACAGTTTTCGATCCGTTAGTCGGAAATTTAAACCCTAAAATAATTGCTGTCCGAGAGGGAATAGTTCTTCGGAGCAAGTATTGTTGGACTCATTTTTAGAAGAACTCATTCGAATAGTAATTGATCGCTTGCTTTACAGCATTGAGCTTCTGTTTAGCTTAAAATGTTGACGATGGTACAATCCAAAAAAAAAAATCCAAAATGTAACGGCTTTATTCACTGGAGGGAAGATAAGCTAATACGAACTGTCGGCATCGCTTTAAAAATCATCCACCCCAAACCCCAAATCTTTGCCGAGGCAGAACGATTGAAAAGGACACAATTGCTCCAAAACTCATCCGATAGTCGAAGGAACGTAGCCTCTATCAGAAACTCTATGCAAAGAGTGTTTTTTCCTCAACACAACAGTAAACTTGCATCATTTTATGTGAGATGTAGCACGCGGCCCATGACAATGGGCTCGTTCTAATGCGACCCAGAAGTTGCCAATCTATACCATATTGCTTTGGTCCATCATTTCTCTCTAAACATATTCATGAAAATAAATACATACTTTTCCGATGATTTGACAACACAGATCGCGACTCTATCCCTCTCTCTCACCGAGTTGCCGTTTTGTGGAAAATTTTACAAATTTGAGTGATATATTCACAGGGTGATCCTTAAGTCCCACACCATCTATGTAGCCCCTAGAGTTTTTGTTCCTTTCGAGGATGATCCTTTCAAAATTTTGGGGATTTCCTAAAGTCATTTATTCGGACCTTGAAACACTTAAAAGACTGGGAAAAAATCACATTGGATCTAGAGTCCAGACTCTTAAAACCATCAACAAGAAAAAATACTCTTGATTCAATCGGATTTTTGCTTAAATCAAGAACCAAGCCTCTTAATTTGACCGTCTGACTGAATCAAGAGTATTTTTTCTTGTCAATGTTTTCAAGAGTCAGGACTGTAGATCCAATGTGGTTTTTTTTCCAGTGAACATTTCAAGGCTCTATAACGATTTGTACAAAAGTTGATGTCTGTTGCTGGTAGTGGGAGACTTCTGGATCACCCTGTATAGTGCAATAAGGAGAAATCTGGCTACGCTATCTCCTCGCGCCATGCGCGATGACGTTGCCATTTAGCGTTTAATTACGAGAACTTTTCAAAGAAAAAAATACCAGGTGGGTGAATTTTGACGGGGAGATTTGGCAAGGCTGAGGCGCGGCGGGTCTTTTTTTGGCCGGTGCGACTCATCCCGTAACAATCGTGTCACTCGGGGAGTCGAACGCTCAGTATATCAATCACTGGGCCGAGGCATTAGCACGGTTCATAAAAAAAAAAAAAAAAATAAAATCAAAGGCGCCTTTGTTTTGCAGTTTCGCTTGTGTGCCGTCGCGGATCGCAAGTGACAGGTTTCGCGGTCGACCGAGGGCTCGTTTCCGGGAGTGAAGTTCGGGTCGCCGGAAGTGCAGTCGCCGGAAGTGAAGCCACCGGAAGTGCGCCCGAAGATGCGTGAACGAAGTTGAGGTTGAAGTTGGTGCGTTCGAACTGGACTTGTGCTCCGGCGCGAAAATGTGCATGTGCTGTAGTTCCTGCTGCGGCAAGTGCTGCCATTCGGAGCCCATGAAAATCCCCATTGACCTCAAGAACCAGTCGGATATTCTCAAGGTGAGGTCCTCCTTTTCATCCTCCTCGGTAGCACTGCAAAAACGCAAATCTCGGTTTGCGATGCTCCTTAGACTTCCTACACGGAGAAAAATGGATTGCTAATTTAACAATTGAATCGTTAAAAAATACGTCCGACATGTTTCAAATGTACATTTTACAATAATGGAGAGCTAGAGGTGGTTAAGTTAGCATTTTACTATCGTAAAATCTAAATTGAAACATGTCGGACACTTCTTTTAACTACAAAATTGTTAAATCAGCGATATCATGTTTTACGTGCGTCAGAATTTATTCTCTAAACGCAGAGTGGCGATCCAAAACTTTCCCTGGTAAAAATTGGCGATAGGAGCTGCGTTTCAAAATACCATAGGAGTTCCTATAGCCGACTGAAGAGGGCGATAGAAAATCATATAGCTGGCTGTAGAATGCGGAGAAAATCATACGGCCGGGCTATACGAAGCGATAAATAATTATGAAGCCGGGCTATAGTTCCTATCACCGGGCTTTACACTTTATCGCCTGGCTGTTGCTTTTTTGTCATCGGCTATAAAAGGCTATAAGAAATTGAGTAGAAATTCTTGTGCTTTGTAAATCCTTAAGTTTGTACGGAACCACCTTAATATTTACAAAACGCACATTATATTTTCCTTTACTACATATTTTTTTTCATTAAATAAAATGAGAATAATATGTACAGCAGTGGCGTGGCGTGCTTCGATATATATCGATATTGCCCCATTTGGAACTATACTAAAGAATCTATTATTAAGGTGTTCGTTGCGAACACCCTGATAATCGATCCTTTTCCATAGGTTTAAATGACAGATCAATCGATATATCGCAAAGCACGCCACGCCACTGATGTACAGAGTGTGCAAACATTTCAAAGTCATGAGTTGAAAAACGCTGACTCCGCGAGATTAAATATTAGAGCCTAACACGAAGCGGAGCGGCGGCGCACCGGCGCCTACAAACCTAACAGGGATACTTCACGCATTGCGCAATGCGTGAAGTATCCCTGTTAGGTTTGCAGGCGCCAATGCGCGTTCAGCGCTGGCTGCCCGAGTGCCCGTCCGCCGCGCCGCGCCGCAGCGCACCGCGGCGCTTGAAGCAACTATTTCACACCAGAGGTATTGCACAGTATCATACGAAATTGAAGGCGCTCCAACATATTAGGAATGGCAGGCATCCTTCAAAAGAAAGGAGCTTTCATCGCAAATTAAAGCAAGATACTGCGGCCCAAAAAGAGAGCGGTAGTCCAAAAACTCACCAAGTCCTAGCATCCGTAATTAGTAACGTTTAGCATACACTTTATCGCCAGGCTGTTGCTTAATCCCCATCGGCTATAAAAGGCTATAAGAAATTGTGTTGCCGGCTATAGAAGCTATTGGAAATCTCACAGCCGGCTGTAAGTCTATGGTATTTCGGAACACAGATTCTACTGCCAATTTTTACCAGGGTTTTTAAGCGCCATCAGACGTTGTTAAGATTGGACAATGGTTGCTCTCATACAATGCAGGAATCCAAAGGTTTGAGAATACCAATTCTTGTTATAAAAATAAGACCAAAATTTACAGGAAATTTCCTCGTACAAGATCAATTAAGCGAATACATTTGGGTTCATTTACAATGAGGAAAAACATGCACAATCTAAATGACACTTATAAGTTTTTCAATTTCCACTCTTTAAATGGAAAAAATACTTAACGTCATTTCTTGAGAACTTCAAGGGTTTTTCTTCTTCGTGTGAGGGAAAATCTATGCAAATATTGCATGCCAAATTATTGATTCGTCCTTCTTTGATATAATGAAATGAGAGAAAAAATGTTGAAACACCGCAGATGAGATTCTCGTTTTTGCAAGTTCCACCGTGGATGTATCGGAAGTGACTTTCAATAGAATAGCGCTGTAATTTTTTGCTTATAAAGCACTGAAAACAAAGGGCGACTAGAATTTTCCGTCTACGAGGTAGTTCTAAAATGCAATTTAATGTGAAACAAGACACAGATCCTGGGAAAATTACTATCATTGCAAGTAGGATGTTTTTGACCTATCTCGAAAATTGAAGGCGAAACTGTTTTGTGCATACTCCAGCCCCCCCCCCCCAAAAAAAAAGTTAATGCTGCTTTCTTTAAATTCTCAGTCAAAATACGCCCCTGAATTTTAACAAAAACCTATATTTTTATGGTCTATGTGTATGAAACTGTAGAACATAATAAGACCTGTTCTAAAAGCTAGTCGGGCGGGTCTTATGATCTCTTGGTACGAAAAAACTTCCTGCTCTGACGCAACCTACTCATTTAGTAACATCATTATAGGGTGTTAAAACATACATTTTTCAAACTTTTTGTTTGTTTCTTTGGAGGGAAAATGAAATTGAGGTCACATTACGTTAAAAATACCTAGGAATATGACATATTCCTAGGTATTTTTAACGCAATACCTCACATTGTGAGGTATTGGTAGTGCTCCGTGATTTCGGGTGCATTGTAAGGAGGAGGGGAGGCCAGAATAAGGGAAATTACCTTACGTAATATTCCATTCAACAATGTAAATGTAAAACAATGTTGTGAAAAGGAAATTTACATTCATTTATTATTCGAAATTTCGCGTGCAATTTGCAACGCCGCGCCGCAGGCTAAAATAAATGTAATTGGCTTTACACTGTCGCAGGCTGACACAAGTGTCATTTGATTTGCATCATCAATATTGTATAAGCGGTGCAAGAGTATGTTGATCTCAATTGTTTTTATTTAGATGAGGATTGTCTCTTTGCTGGCAATCGTCATTATAAACGCATTTTCCGTACACAGCTCGTGAAGCAAGGCCATTAGACAGCGGATATATTTATCGTAAATCAAGAAAAAGTTTGATTTTTTTGGAGGCTGGCATCATTCCCCCGAGCTGATAGGGAAAAATGAAGAATTTGTCGGCACCGCCAATAAATCAAATTTCAAGTCTTCGCAAAAAATACGCCCTCGGTCTAGGAACAGAGGTTTAGGGGGTCCCAACGTTCAAATTGCAAGGAAGTAGACATTTTCTTCAACAAGCCATGGGACCAAATCGCAAAACAGACTGACGTACAGTGGTATCTGGAGGAAATTTATGAGACAAATTGGATTTTGTTTAACAATAAGGAACTATCTGACTCCTCCGTAAAATCAGTTATCTACATAGGGAAACAAATTTCCAATGAGTCAGTTGAAAAATGAGCTAGAATTAGTAGTTTCTGATGTCGAACTTTAGTCAAATTCTACCCAAATGCAGATATTTTTTACATAATGGGCCTGTTGCATGCAAGAGATACAGCCGCGCGAATAGACTTTTATTAGTTAAATGACACGAAAATTACGATGGTCACATTAAAAAAGTCTGAAATACACTCCTTGCTGCGCAATTTGCGTTGTTAGGAACGCGCACTGAGAAAATTTTTTAGTCAGATCAACCAGAAAACTACTTGATCCAATGAGACTACTCCAATGAATATTTCTCGGAATGGAATGATACTTGGATCAACTGGAATAGCTAGTTAGATTTTTTCTAGTTGAGGTAACTGGAAATTATCCTTGTTTTAAATGGATAGAATCCTTGAGGTAACTGGAATTATCCTCGGAATAACTGGAAAATATCCTTGAAATGACGGGAAAAATTATTTGGTATCACTGGAAAATTTACTAAGACTCTGCCCCTATTTCTGGCCTTTGAAGGCATGTAAGTATTTATTAAATAAAATATACATTCAAAATCACAAAATTATGGTCATCTGCTTTGATTTACGATTATACAGGATGTTTTGCCTAAGCTCGTCACGCATTAAATTTTGGGACCTACCTGGGGATTGAACTCGGGACCTACCGATTTCTAGCCTAACACCCTAACCGTTACACCATTGGTTTCGATATCTTATTGAGACGAAATAAGCGAAAAGCGACCCGTTCAACGCTCACACCGCACCAAACCACTGCGATGTTTGCGATATGCCAGCATACTAATTGCAAGAAGCTTAATTAATTATGATATACTTTTCAATTTCGTATGCATGATCAATTCTTTCGCTGTGTGCACGATGAACTCTCAACACTCACATACAACCGTTACAAGTTTCTGAGCACTTCGGGGAACATGGAATTCCAGTTACGGTAACAGGGCTTTCCCATTTGGCATAACTGGAAAAAATTCAACGAGACTAGTCCAGTTGATTCAAATGAGACGTCCCGTCACATCAAGCACCCTATCCAATTGGATCAACTATTTTTCGGTGTTAAATTAACGTAGAAAAGTTCCAAGTAGACACTTTCGTTAAATTAACTGTTCTTTTTTTCTCCGTGCGCTTTTTCAAATTTCCCGCGTCTGGGGGCAGTTTTCTAACGGAAACAATTAACGGCAACTCGCGGCTATTTCCGGTCAACTGAAGCTGACAACATAACCTAAAAATCGGAGCTCGTGATATCGTGAAATGAAATGTAGAAGGATTGCGTTGGATATTTAAACGTTGATCGATTTGGTTACCGCATAAAGCGTATATGGACCACTATAAGAGATTACGTTGGGTTTGTAAACAAAAAGGAAAAAATAACAACGACTCGGCATCTTCCGGAAATCACCGAGCCCGCCGTTTGCTCGTTTCCGGTAATTAGAAAACTGCCCCCAGACGCGGGAAATTTGAAAAAGCGCGTTCCTAACAACGCAAATTGCGCAGTAAGGAGTGTATTTCAGACTTTTTTAATGTGACCATCTTAATTTTCGTGTCATTTAACCTCTAAAAAGTCTATTCGCGCGGCTATATATCTTGCATGCAACAGGCCCATTGAGTCAGTGAAGTAAAGAATCGAGGAATTTTTAGGCATCTCCTTGAATTCTCCGACATCTAAATTTATTTAAAAAATTCCATAAACGTTCTAGGAATTACAATGGATAAAAAGAGCAGTTCCGGCCCTCAAAATCGCGGAAACACGGGGGCTCACCTGATTTCGGCTTTTAGCACTCACGATGTGACCACG